AGAGAGTGTGTGTAAGATGATGGAGCTTTTGGATGGAGAAAGTGCTTGTAGAGAAAGGCTTTTGTGAAGGTGTATGTGGGATTTGAGGGATGGAGAGGGAGAAATCAAATTTTTAGGAGGGGGGGGGGGGGGGGGGGTTTTAGGAATATGTAGATTTAGGTATTTTCCAGTTTTTTATAATTCCCCTCTTTTTTTTTTTTAATTTGTTTGAAATATAAAATTAATCATAATTTTGTTTATAATCATGCATCGATTTGGTCGCCATATCGTCATCCTCATTCATGCACATCGATGCCACCTCGATCCACGTGCACTAAATTTTGATTTTTGCCGATCAACAATCCCAATCAATATAAGTGTCAATATTAGCTATTTCTGTTGCTCTAGATGCACCGACACTGTCTGTTTTGCGAACAAAGGCCATTTCAGCAATTTAAGTTTTCGATCAACACGCGTCGAGTGAGTTTCAAGAATATAAATGAACTCAAAAACTCTGAAGTAATCTACCTCTTGGTATGTAAAGAGATTGACATAAACAAAAAAATCCCGGCAGTAATACAACCTGTAATCAACGAATATCCATATATAACTCCAGAAGATTTACCATATTCCTTGCCTCCAATGAGAGATATCTAACACCATATGGATCTTATACCCAGATTAAACTTACCCCACCTGCCTCACTATCGTATGAGTCCTACTGAACATGAAGAACTACCCAAACAAGTAATTGAACTCTTAACTAAGGGACAAATCAAAGAAAGCATGAGTCCATGACTCCATGTACAACCCCAACCCTGCTTACACCCTAAAAAGATAGCGTGATACAAGCCTTATAAAAAAAACTCGAGGCGTAAGCATCGAGGCGTTTTTTACTAGAATTGCGCAAAGGTGGGCCTCAAGGCGATCCTCATATTGCGCAATTTTAAACCATGGTCCATGTACAGCCCCAACCCTGCTTACACCCTAAAAAGATAGAACTTGGAGAATGTGTGTTGACTGTCGATCCATAAATAAGATAACCATCAAGTATAGGTTTCATATCCCAAGACTTGACGATATGCTTGACATGCTTAACGGTGCTAAGTTTTTCTCAAAAATAAAATTACAAAGTGGATATCACCAAATCCAAATACAACACAGTGATGAGTGAAAAATAGCCTTTAAAATAAAGGAAGGTCTCTATGAATGGTTAATCATGCCCTTTGGCCTATCAAACGCACCTAGTACATTTATACAAACCATGAATTACAGCCCACGTCCCTTCATTTGTTGTGGTTTATTTTGATGACATCCTCATTTATAAGACTTATCCCAACGATTATCTTGAACATGTGAAACAAGTCCTCCAAACCTTATGAGAACAAAGTTTGTACATCAACTTAAATAAGTGCACTTTCATTACTCATAATTTGATTTTCCATAGATACATTGTCTCTGCAGATGGTATTAAAGTAGACCCCATTAAAATAGAAGCGATCCGAAGTTGGCCGATTCCGAAAAATCATAGTGAAGTTAGAGGATTTCATGGATTAACCTCTTTCGACCGTAGATTTATGAATAACTTCAATACCTTGATACCACGCATTATTGATTGTCTTAAAAAGGGAATTTTTAGGTGGACCTTTGAAGCTGAAAAATATTTCAACTGATTAAAAAAAATGAGTCAAGCACCTATTCTTAGGTTGCCAGATTTTGACAAGATTTTTGAAGTAGACTGTGATGCGTCCCATATTGGCATAAGAGCTGTCCTTTTTCAAGAAGGTCGACCCATCGCTTTTTTTAGCGAAAAAATCAATGATACCTGATCCCGATATTCAACTTATGATCTAGAGTTCTATGTGATTGTCCAAGCCCTGAAATTTTGGAGATATTATCTTATTCAAAGGGAATTTGTATTAAACTCCGATCACAAAGCACTATGATATTTAGGGTCTGAAAAAAATTTAAACATATTAAGTGGACATCTTTTCTATAAGAATACACATTTCATCTTAAACACAAAACCGGAGTTGTGAATAAAGTCGTTGATTCCGTAAGCAGATGAGCCCACTTATTGGCAACTCTTCACCCAATTATAGTCTCCTAGATTCTTTGAAAGATAACAATGCCTCATACCCAGACTTCAAAACCCTTTGGGAATCATGTACTTCCGAAATTGACCCATATGCTCAATTTACTATTCAATAAGGATTTCTATTTAAGAGAATTAGACTATGTATCACCCAAAGCTCTCTATGTAAAAAACTCATCCAAGAACTTCATGATGGAGGATTAGGAGAGAATTTTGGTCAAGAAAAAACTATAGCCTTAGTTGAAGAATGATATTAATGACCCCACATGCGAAAATATATATATATATATATATCCAATATTGTAAAACAATGTAAAACCTATCAATCATTCAAAGGAAAAAAAATAAAACACTGGTATATATATACTCCTCCCAATTCCAAACAAACCCTAGGAATATTTCACCGTGAACTTCATCTTAGGATTACCTATAATAGCCCGAAAATTTGATTGTGTTCGTTGTCGTTTATCGATTTAATAAAATGGCTCATTTCATTCACTATAAGAAAACCTTTGATGCATCTCATGTTGCTAAATTTTTTTTAGAGAAATTGTGCGATTACATGGCATACCTCAAACTTTTACCTGTGATAGAGAAACTAGATTTTTAAGTCATTTTTGGAGAACACTTTGGTTGAAATTAGAAACTACGCTCCAATTCAGCAGTGCATATCATCCACAAGCAGAAAGACAAATTGAGGTAGTAAATAGAAGTGTGAGAAATTCGCTTAGGTGTCTTGCAGGAGAAAAACCTTCCCAATGGGATTTGATTTCTTCCAGGACAAATTTTCTTATAAAAATTCCATTAATCAATCCATTAGAAAAACCCCATTTGAAACTATTTATGACCAAACCATTCCCCACATCTTAGACTGAACTTCATTACCTATACTTGGTCGAATTAGTGTTGAAGCTACTGAAATTATCGAACACATTCATCCAACAATAGGACTTAGAAAAACTCTATATGGAAAGTACTAAATATAAGACAATGGCCGACAAACACCAGAGAGAATGTTATTTTAAGGAGATCTAGTAATGGCTTACCTTTGACGTCAACGCTTCCCAGTTGGCACATTCGGCAAATTAAGCTGAAAGAATTTGATCCTTTCCGAATCCTTTGAAGATTAGGGACAAATGCTTATTTATTGGACCTCCCATCTTCTGTAGGAACTTCTCATATGTTTAATGTTGCTAATCTTACTACATATGATGGAGAGCCGACTGATTTTATGAACATAGAGACTTTTGCCCCTTACTGCTCCAATTCAGACTAGTGATGATCATATTGATGATCTTGTGGATATTCGTACTACCCAGACAAGATATATTCTTGGTTAGATGGAGTGGGCACCTTATGACTGAATGTTATATGATTGAAGCTGAGGAGTTGGTTCATACTTCATACCATTGATTTTTTCATTTGTGTTTGATCTTGGTTTCTTGCTCCTTATTGGCTGATTGGGTATTTAGTTGTGGGCTATTTTTTTTTATTAGGCTTAGCCCATTTTTTCCTCTTGATTTATGGCTGCATGCGGTTCTTCCCTCTCCTTGTTAGCTGTATGAATTTTCCCTTGCTTTATGGCTGCTTGGGATTCTTTCCCTCTCCCTTTGGCTGTTCGGTTTTCCCCTTTTGCTAATTCCTATGCTTGATGCTTCAACTTCTCCGTTGAGAGCTGATATGGATTCTTTTATTGGCTAGATTGTTGGCTCATTTAATCGAACAATTAAATGCTCTTTCCCCTCCTTCCCCTATATAAAGTGGCTAATTCTTTATGGTAAAAGGGAGTTTTTTGGTGAAAATTTTCAACCTGAGGGTTTCTTCGTGGCTTGCAAGCTAGTATTCTCCCTATTCCCTATTACTTCCTCTCGGTCATCTTTCTTCTTCTTCCCTCCATGGTTTCCCTTCCACCTGTATCTTTCTTCTCTAAACTTTGTGCGTGTGAAATGGTGTTGTTACCCTGTTCTGTTAGTATTTGTCTGAGGAGTGCAGACTTGTGTCAGATTATGTTTCAGTGATGGATTATTGATTAGATTTTTCCTTTGAGCATCTTTCCCTAGTTTTTTTGTTTTGCATGCGATGTGACCATTCGTAGTTATTTTATTATTGTTTAAGTGCTTTGAATCTTTCTTTCCTATTGATTTCTGAATCAGTTTCTAATGTTTGTTTCTACCTAGTCAATTTATGTTTGTGTTTGTGTTATTGAAAGGAATTTGTCTTTTTAATTACATGCCTAAGTATTCTCCTAAAAGTTTAGGAACTTAGGTTGCATCATGAACAAAAAAACTGAAGTCAATGAGTAAGAACTTCTTCATATTTGATTTAGGACTATCCTCCAGTCTCATGCGAATCGTAATAGACTAAAATTTCTTCAACAAGAATAGCAAAGCGGGTGACAATTCAAAATATAAAACACTCATACAGAGATGGGCGATTTAAGACTATTATCCCCTCTTATGTGAATCTTAAAACAGTAAAATTTCTTCAACAAGAAAGATAGTGAAAATGAATGAATAAATAAAACACTCTCCTAGTATATTGGAAACTCACTTCTTATTTCACATATGATTATTAACTATTCTACGCTCTTATGTAGATCTTAAGAGACTAAAGGTTGTTCGATAAGAAAGGCAAATGAGGTGAGTAAATATAAAACATGAGCCTACAAAGATGTCCTGCAACTTATTTTCCCCATCAATTTCGGCATCCTATTCCTATAACTTTGTTTGTTTGACCATCTAAAGTTTAAACCTCAGTTAACTGCAATTTTTTTCTACCCTAAAAAAATCTACCACTCATCGAACACAAGCAATTACTTAGACCCCCAAAAGCAACTACCTTTAAAGATTTGTCGCAGTAAAAAAGAAAGAAAGAAAGAAAGAAAGAAAGATCGAATAACAACTATCGATCACAAATTCACATATACCACAGCTTCCCTGATCCTTGATTTGTGTTACAGCCCCCTTCTCCCTCCAATCAATTGAGTCCGGAACAGCGGCATCAGATCCCCGGAAGACCGCCTGACCGCCATAGCCGCCGCGGACCGAATCAGAGAGCTGGCGGTTCAGACCGAGGCTGAGACCGAGGCGAACAGCGCGGAACTCATGTAACGTAAGGTCAGCGAAGGCGTTGAGGGCGAGGGAATAGGTCGAGTTGGCGGCGGCGTTGTGGCTTTCCACAAAGGCGAGATTGTCCTCGAAAACCTGAAAGCGAGCGAGCTTCTCGGCCTCGGAGGCGTAGGCCTTGTTGTGTTCAAGACACCAGGATTCGAAGAGGTCAAAGTAGGGAGAGGAGGAGGAGGAGGAGGAGGTGGTGGTGAAGAGGAACAATAAAAGAAGGCCGGAGACCTTAGAGAGATACATGCTGGTTGCTGGATTATGATCGGGATCGAGGAGAAGACTGAGAAAATTTCAAAGCTTGGATTGTCTTGTTATTCCGGATGATCAATATGAGACGGTCACACTCGCCTGCTGCTGGTTGGCGGCTGTAGCTATCCCTCGTGAATTAGGATAAAAGCTACTGTAGATGCTTGTTTTGTATAAATAGAGAGAGAGAGAGAGAGATCATAAAAAAAATACTCTTTTTGTTTTTTTTGAAAGAATAACAACGCTCGAGAGCACCATAGAACAACGAAGAGTTTCATCACTGGTTTTTTTATTTTATTCACATTTATTTATTTATTTATTTTGCAATGTAATATAAATGGTAATCTAATTTTAATATAATTTAATAAATTATATATAAGATAAAATGCTAATAATTTACAAATATAATATAATATTTTTTTAATAGAAAAAGTAGTCTTAATTTTTTTGATAATATTTACATGAATTTAATTGATATTAGAGTGCCAAATATTTGCTCTCATGAGCGTGGCAAATGATACATTTCTACATGACTAGGAAAACATACGTACAATAAATTAGATATGAATTATGAAAGATGAATTTAATGAATGACGTAAAAAAAAGACCTTGAGGTGAGAATGGAGACATCCGGCTTTGACATTCATAATAGCAGTGGTCATTAGCCTTGACGATAATAGTGGGTATCAATGTTGGCGGCAACAATGAACATTTGTTTTATTGACAATACTAATGTTAGAGTTAATGACGATGATAAGACAATGGGTTGTAGCTCACAAAAGATGATCAATAATTTTCATAATTTATACCATATATATTTTCTAATATTCATTTTCTATCATAATTCTAAAAACTATTACAAAATAGTGTCAATTAGAGTTTTGAACTTGTTTTTAAAATTTAACCACAAAAAACCGATATATAGAGGAAGCAATAAGAAAGTCGTCCCAAACAAAATTATGTTAGGCACACCTCATTTATGCTTATTTCTAAAAAATTATAAATATTTAAAAATAAATAATTTTTAACATAAAATAAACACCTAAACTTCATATTGACTCATTGCACCCGGGCCGTAGCTGTCAAATCCTTGACTCAAGCGATCGATCACCTTCACTTTCTCCTATTATATAATATATTTATTTTGTTTTGCTTGATGATGATTCCAATCCAATAAGCTCTCCACTCAATGATGATTTACTTGCTGAATGTTTACTAATATAAAAGAGAAAAATTAAAGTATTGGAAATTATACAGAGGCATCATTTATATGATACTCTAAGCATAAAAAAATTGTAATCTTGATTGCAACAGAGGGAGGTCCAATTCAACATTTCTTTAGCTTGATTAGGCCTTAAAGAAACAAAGTGGCAATATATAAGGCTATGGTGGTGGACCTTAAGTTTTCAATTGAGGTTGCACTATAAGGAATTCATAAAATTATCGGCAGCTTTCTAGCGGTTCTCTTGTGGTGTGCTTGTTGATAATGTTTGACAGTTAGACTGCATGTAATCTCCGGCGGGCTAAACCGTCAGAAATTTCGGGCGGATAATCTGGGTCAACCGTCAGACTGACCACAACCTAAAACCGTCATAAACAATTACCGTAAAAAATGAGCCATCAGTTCTCATTTCCTACGCATTTTTTACCGACAGAAAAATATCCACCAAAAAGGCATCGAAAAATTTAACTTTCGTCGGAAATTTGCCAGTTTTCACTGATATTGAACAATTTTTCAGTAGCGTTGGAATTCAAAGTCTTAAAAAATTCAACAATTATAACAGATCATGAAGATAAATTTGTCCTACATTCATAAGAGAAGCAAAACTCATGATGCAATGAGTCTCTTCCAAGTCTTTCAGCTCCTTCACAACTAAACATACTACTTCAAAAGAATAGCTAATCCAAATAACAAGCTAGTACTCATAACAATAGATAATCATTGAATCTAGATGCCAATAATCATTCAGACCCTGCAATAGCCCTGATTATCCTTCAATCTCAACAAAATTAATGGAATTTAGCCTTGACAATCAATTTAACCCTACAGGAGGAGGGAAAATCAAGCTAGCAGGTAATGGCCTTGGCCATCGCTCAATCTCCATAAAATGAACATGATATAGCCTCGATGATTCTTCATACTTTGTGGGAGGACAGGAAATCAATATGATTTCTCAAATCTTTAGTAGAGTTGACGATCAATTTGCATTCTTCAAGAAACCATCATCAATGCAAAACAACTCAGACAATCTTGTTGTTCTCATCAATGAAATAAAATTGGTAACACTCAACTTCAGGTATGTTACAATCCTAAACCAAACAAAATTTCTACTCCACCAACCGAAGAAACCATCCCCAATGGAAGAGATTACCCCCAAATCTCCTATGAATTAGCAACACCTGAGGAGACCATCTTGGAACTATTTGTACAAACAATTGATCCAACTCTGACTATTTTGCAACTCCAAATGGCATTATTTGCACTACCTTACTCCTAGAAATCCTTCCGCAGTTTCCTTAAGAGTAAGAAGAAAGAGAATTTGGCCCTTAAAATCCTTCCTCCATATTCATAAGTTAGATTCAGGCTTTCATTTGGGATGGTTTTTTTACTGCTTTTTAAAGTTATTTTTTAGCACAAATATATTGAAAGTAGGAAAAAAATAGTGGTCTAAAACTGCCCCAAGCTTTGCTTGAGATAATTTTCTCACTATTTTCTATAGCTTTCTAGCATAAAAATTTTTGCTCAAGAAAATTTTATATTGAAAAGCTGCTTTCAAAAAGCAGTAAAAAGTAATCCCAAACAAAACCTCATTCACCTTTGATACAGCCAAACACTAAAAAAAAATTCTTTTTATACCTAAAAATCAAAATACAATGACCTTATTCACAAATGGCATCAAACCTACAAGATGGGTCTGCCACCACCTGAATGAGTCCATTGTAGAGTTCGATCTCACTATTCTAAATTACCTTCAATGAAATATTCCCAAAAGAGTCTATTGCTCAGCACCTGAAGAGTTTACTTGTTAGTAAGGCCGAATATCAATTACGAATAATTTGAATCCAACAAGTTGCAAATGCGAAAATATGTCATGCATTACTGGCCAATAAAGTTGTACTGAAGTGTATACAGTTCAACAATGGATGCTCACCTCAAATATAAACAGTAATAGATCTAAGGCCGTCACTCATGAAGTTTACTTCATAGAACTATATACAGTTCACGACATAAAATTGCTTGTTTCTACTATACACAGACAATTTGGTAGTTAATGAACACAATAAATATATATACAACTCAAACTTACAAGTATAGTGCACGGAACATGTGGTCTTCAATGGCGGCCCAGCTATTTTTACTGAATGCAGGGGCCTCATCATTGCCAGGGAACTCCCATCTAGCAATGAGGCCATCCCAAGAAGAACTGACTAGCGTAGGGTAGTAAGGATGCCAACTGCAGTCTCTGACTGTCATTTGATGGCAATCAAGTCTTGCAACTTGATCTCCAGTTACCTGACAATTTGGCAAGATAAAACAATCAGTTTGATGTATTACAGTCATTTCAGCAGAACAGAACTAGTCGATGAGGAAACAGCAAAGGCGCAAATCTTTGTCCATCCTAATTCTTAAAGAAACAAGTTCATTAAGGTGTTGTTTGGTAGCAAGATTTAGGTCGGATTTGAGGCGGATTTGGGAAAAATCCAGCCAAACGGCCTAAAATGAAAAACCAAATCTCACGGCAAATGAAAGCCGCAGTAGACGGAAAATTCTGCCTTTTCATGCTAAATCCTGGATTTCCGAAATATTGTTTTTTGCCGGATTTACGAAATCCGTTTACTCAAGAAGAAGAGTCTGCTCGTTAAATCCGTTCTATAGCCAAATAGTTACATGGGATTTAATAGGATTTATCATGAATGTTACCAACAGTTTTTAGGATTTAGACCCCTCAGGATTTCCGAAATCCGGATTTTGCAAATCCTCCTCCAATCAAATCCTAGGTGCTACCAAACAGCCCCTAAGGATGCGTTTGAAAGTGGAGGAAATGAAATGACATCCAGACAATTTGTTACTTGATTGAACATCTGTAACCATTCTATTTGAGAATTTTAGCTTTTGCATTTCCTTATAAGGAGAATAAAAAACCAGAAACAGGAACTTCATACCACGTCATATATATAAACACAGTTATCGTGAGATCCTGTGTAGATGTATCTCTGTCCAGTGCTGCATGAGCATATGACAAAAATGAAAATAATGAATCCATCAATAGTAAGAGCAGGTAGATTTTCAGTTGAGATCATCAATGAGATTCATAATAATGCGTAACAACTTTTAATTAATGGAAAATGTCAGATTATGTGGAGAAATTACCTGTGTGATGGGGAGAAATAGCAGCGGATTAGAGTGCGTAAAACTGAATGGCCTCGGTATGTCGCCACTGACTGATCATTTGGATGGCTCAGATGTTTCGCATGAGATGGGTACTCCATCCATCTATAATCCCAATCAGATATCCTAGGCCTGGGGCTGTAGCATCCGAATATATAAGTAGATCAAAACTCACAATAGATTAAACTGCAAGTGAGAAACTTATCAAAGACTTCTACATAAGACGTTGCATTTAGTACATGAACTGAATATACTGCTGGGGAATAATAAGATTTTTAGTACATGAACTGATTATGTGATGAAGGGCCATATTTTGGGACCCGACATTGTATTTTGTTAGTAAGTTCTACAAAATCAAATTTAATTTAAAATTTAAATATGGATTTCAACTATCCTCACGTTTCATTTGCAAAAAATAAAGAAAAATACTGTCCTCTCATTTCTTCTCTTTTCTAAAGCAATCATTTTATCAATGTCCTCCATAACTCATTACATGATTCCCTCCACAACAACCAAAATTGTCTCCAACAAAATCTACACATTCGTCCTCCATAACTCATTACATGATTCCCTCCACAACATCCAAAATTGTCTCCAACAAAATCTACAAATTCCTCCTCCATACAAATTTCAATTAGAAAATTGGATTCAAATTTGGATTTCAAAAACTTAAAGTCAAAATTGAATTCAATATTTCATCTTATCCTACCATCACTTTTCCTCCATAATTTTCTCCAACCATCTTGAACTAACTAACAAAAATAATTAACCTAATTAGATTATAGCACAATTTGGGTAACTAAACCAACCCAGCTCAACCATGCCAACCTAATCCAATGATGAGTCCAAATGAAAAAAAGTAAGACCCAACTTCTTCAATAAGTTCAACAAAATAAATACGATTAATTCAAATCAAAGAATTGTCTATGAAGAGCCCTTAATTTTCATATGTATCTTTGCAAAGATAATGATAGCGCTCTTGAGAATCTACGGTTTGTTAATGATGATATTGTTATTCTCATTTATCTTTCCTTCTGAATAGATTTCATATTTGTCATACCTCAAGAAAGATTTTTCTTTTATCTCTACGTTCGAGGATACATTTTGCTAGCTCAATTATGTTGTTGATGTGAGAACCGAATCTGGCCGGTTGAACAGAACCGGCCAATGCTATTAATAGAGTCGCTACCCCGTATAGGGGGTATGTGCTATTCTTTTTGCGAAACAAAGAGGGGAGAGCGGACGGCCGAACTCGCGAAAAAAGCTTGGGGAAGTTTTGTTTCGTCAATTTTAGCAAACAATCGCATTGGAGGGTAAGATTAAACAACTCCTTTTCATTCTTATTGTTATAGAAGCGAGGATTTGGGAGAAACGAAGGTGAAAGAGAGGAACAATTTGAAATAAATTGGAAAAAAGTTTGTTTTCTCAAACTTTTATAAATTGTTCCTAATCTTTTCTCTAATTTGTGGAAATATTTAATTTGACGATAAGGAAGACATTTGGAAGCGAGGAGAGAAGATTTGAGCGGGAGAAAGAGGAAGCTTTGGGATTTTGGAAAAATCCCCTCATTGTAAGTAGACCTTCATATTAATTTTGTTAGATAGCATATTGTTTTATGAAAAATTTAATTGTTTAATTTTAGGGATTTAAAGGGAGAGACCAAGTTGTAAGAGTTCGTTTCAACAAAGACTCAACGACGAAAGAAATGAAAATTTATTAAGGTAATTTCACATGGAAGATTCCAATGCTTGTTGAGTCATTCAAATTGAGATTTAATATTAATTAAATTGTTATATTCGTGCGAATAGTTAAAAGGATTTCAATACAAGATGAATATTGAAGGCGGAGAATCAAATTGGGTAATTATAATTATTAAATTCAATATTTTGTATTATTCTTTCAAATATGATATAGTGTTTTGTATCATAATATTGTTTTAAAAGTTTTATTTTTTTTAGACTATCATGTGTGAAATGTTGAAAGTTTAAATGCATAATTGAATATAAATATTATTACAACAGAAAATAAAAGAATAAAATAACATGAATGCAATTATGTATATATGTGAAAAAGGATGTTATATGATACATGTATGTATTAAGAAAGTATGAAAACGAATAAATGACATATGAAAATGAATAAAAAGGTTCAAAATAAATGGAAAAGAAAGTAAAATGATATGCATGCAAACTACATGAGTTCACCACATTATGGTACTGGCTGGGGACGTCGTACTCGTGCACGCAAAAAAGAAAAGGTTATGGAAATGGAAAAGGAAAAATGAAAATAGTTGTACATTTGAGTATATTTTTAGACGGTGCTCCTGTACAAATTAAATGAGAAAAGAAAATATTAAAGTTTTATAACGTTTTAAAGGAAAATGACCGGATATGTATAAATGACTGGAATGAATGAAATAAAGTTAAGAAAGTATAAGATGCATATTAAAGATTATAGGTGTATTGTAAATAAAGAATATCATATTAATTGTTTTAACAGTTACCCACTGAGTTTACTATGTAAACTCGTTCCACTAATTAAATGTTTCAAGTAAGTCACCAAAGATTTAGAAATAACAGAAAGAGAAGAGTTCGTCTATAGAATAAGACGTACAACTGATATCAAGTAATTTATGATTTAAAATAAATGCTAAGTATTTTGAAAATTTTTTGTTAGTGGCACTTCAGATAAAAGAAAAATGAATTTGTTGTTTTAATGTTGTTTTGTTTATGAACTAAAATGATTAGATCCTACCGTCCAACTTTTAATTCCCGCCTCGTTTAATCGAGCATCCAGGCCGGGTCGTGACAAAAGTGGTATCAGAGGCTAATAAATATTTGTAATTGTGTTTATTGATGATATCTTGATTTATTCAAGAGATGAAGAGAGCTATTCCAGTCATCTGCAAGTATTGTTGCAAACACTTAAGGAGAACAAGTTATATGCTAAATTTTCAAAGTGTAAATTTTGGTTGAATAATGTAAACTTTCTTGGGCATGTGATTAGTGGTAAAGGAATTTCTGTTGATAATAATAAAATTCAAACCAATGCTGAATGGCCAAGGCCAACAACAATTTCAGAGGTAAGCAGTTTTCTGGGTCTTGCTGGTTATTACAGGAGATTTGTAGAAGGATTCTCTCAGATTACAATGTTGTTATCCAGATTAACTCAGAAAATAGTGAAATTTGAATGGAATGATCAGCGTGAAGAAGCTTTCCAGAAGTTGAAGACTTGTTTAATGATTGCCCCAATTTTAACAATTCCATCAGATTCAGAAAGATTCCAAATTTTCTATGATGCTTCCTTTAAAGGACTTGGATGCGTTTTGACGCAGCATGGTAGAGTGGTGGCCTATGCTTCAAGGCAATTGAAAATTCATGAAAGAAACTACCCCACTCATGATTTAGAATTGACAGTTGTAATTTTTGCACTCAAAATATAGAGACATTATCTATATGAGGTCATATGTGAATTGTTTACAGATCATAAGAGCCTCAAGTATATTTTCAATAAAAAAGAACTTAATTTGAGGTAGAGAAAGTGGTTAGAATTCATTAAAGATTATGACTTGAACATACAGTATCATCTTGGAAAGGCAAATATGGTTGCAGATGCACTTAGCAGAAAACTCTTGGAAATTCAAATTGGCTAATCACCCAGCAAGAACATATAATCAGGATATGGAAAAATTAGAGATTTCAGTGGACAATTAGAAAGAGACTAAATATATGATATTAAACCATATGGTGATTGAATATACTTTGAAGGATAGAGTGCTCAATTCATTTTCTCAAGATGAAAAATTTTAAGAGAGCATAAGAAAAGTGTAATCAAGGCAGTTAGAGGACTTTAAAGTTGATGGAGAAGGATTATTAAAGTACAAGGATAGGATTTGTGTTCCAACTGTTGGAAATAAGAGAAGAGATATTGCAGGAAACTCACCTCTCAACTTATAAAATTCATCCAGGCAGTACAAAGTTGTATCAAGAACTAAGAGGGTTGTTTTGGTGGCCCATATTAAAAAGGAATGTTGCATAATTTGTGGTAAAATATATTCTCTGTCATATGATTAAAGCAGAACATCAAAAGTCAACTGGTCAACTACAACCTTTACCTATACCATAGTGAAGATGGGAAGACATTGCAATGAATTTTGTAATTGGATTACCCAGGTCAAGAAAGAGTCGAGATGCAATATGGGTTATTATTGATAGATTAACTAAGTCAGCTCACTTCTTACCAATCAAGCAGACAGATTCAGTGGAGAAATTGATAAAAATATATGTGGATGGAATTGTGAGATTGCATGAAATTTCAAAATCAATTGTTTCTGATAGAGATGCCAGATTCACTTCTAAATTGTGGAAGAAAATTCATGAAGATATGTGCACCCGATTGAGTTTTAGTACAACATTTCATCCTCAGAAAGATGGACAATCAAAAAGGGCAATTCAGACTTTGGAAGATTTATTGAGATTATGTGTTTTAGATTTTGGAGGAAATTGAGAGACACACATACCGTTGATTGAATTTGCATACAAAAACAGTTTCCAATATAGGATTGGAATGACATCGTATGAGGCTCTTTATGAAAGTGCAGAACACCCTTGTGTTGAGTAGAAATAGGTGAAAGAAAAATCATTGGAACTGAACTAGTAGATGAGACTACTAGCAAAATCAGATTGATTAAAGACATTGCAAGATATACAACGAAAGTATTATGATATAAAGTATAGACCAGTTGAGTTTGAAGTTGAAGAATTTGTTTTCTTAAAAGTCAGCCTAATGAAAGATGTGCAAAGATTTGGAAAGACAAGAAAAATGAATTCAAAATTCATGGTCCTTTTGAAATCATTGAGTTGATTGAAAATATAGCTTACAAACTGAATATGCCAGTGCATATGCAAGGAATTCATAGTGTTTCATATATCAGTGCTTCGAAAATATGTATCAGATGATTCAAAGAAAATTCAGTCCAAATTAATTGACTTGCAGCCTTATTTGAAATATGTTGAGTAACCTAAAAGAATATTGGATTATGATATAAAACAGTTAAGGCATAGAACAATACTTTATGTAAAGATTTATGGAAGCATAGATCAGAAAGAGATGTCACCTGGGAGAAGGAAGCTGAAATGAGAAGTCAATATCCTCATTTATTTAACTAAAATATGTTTCATTATTCTTGATTTAATTTCGAGTATGGGAAGATTGCAAGAATCGGATCTGGTCGGTTCAACCGAACCGGCCAATGCTAATAATAGAGTTGCGACCCCGTACAGGGGTAGATAATGTTCTTTTCGCGAAACAAAAAGGGGAGAGCAAATGGCCAAACTCGCGAAAAAGCTTGGGGAAGTTTTGTTTCGTCAATTTTAGCAGACGATCGTGTTGGGGGATAAGATTAAACAACTCCTTTTCATTTCTATTGTTATAGAATCGGGGATTTGGGAGAAACAACAGTGAAGGAGGAACAATTTGGAAGAAATTGGAAAAAAGTTTGTTTTATCAAACTTTTATAAATTGTTCCTAATCTTTTCTCTAATTAATGGAAACATTTAATTTGACAATAAGGAAGACATTTAGAAGCAAGGAGAGGAGATTTGTGCGGGAGAAAGAGGAAGTTTTGGGATTTGGAAAAATCCCCTCATTGTAAGTAGACTTTCATATGAATTCAAGTTGGATGGTTGAAGTGGAGGAATGCATCGGGCTTGTTGTGTGATAGAAAAGTACCCCTCAAACTTAAGGGAAAATTCTATAAGATGGTGGTGAGGCCTGCAATGGTTTATGGCGCTGAATGTTGGGCATTAAAAGAGAAGCATAATACTAAGTTAAGTGTGGAAGAGATGAGGATGCTCAGGTGGATGAGTAGCTTTACCCTTAGAGATAGGATATGAAATGAGCATATACGTGAAAAGGTTGGAGTAGCTCCAGTAGAAGATAAAATTAGAGAGAGTCTCCTTAGATGGTTTGGTCACATAAAAGGCGACCTTCCGATGACTAGATTAGGAGAGTAGAGGTATTAGATTTGACTTATGTTAAGAAAGGTAGAGGCGGACCGAAAAAGACTTGGTTAGAAAATATTAGAAATGACCTTTCTTATTTATTAGATTTAAACGATAAATTGACTTTTAATAGGACACAATAGAGGAAAAGGATTCATGTAGCCGACCCCGCGTAGTGGGATAAAGGCTTGATGTTGTTGTTATTGTTATATCAAGTGTAAAATGTTGAAAGTTTAAATGCATAAATGAATGTAAATATTATTACAACATAAAATAAAAGAATGAAATAATATGAATGCAATTATGTATATGTGTGAAAAAGAATGTTATATGATACATGTATGTATTAACAAAGTATGCAAATGAAGAAATGACATATGAAAATGAATAAAAATGTTCAAAATAAAGGAAAAAGAAAGGAAAAGGATATGCATGCAAATTATAGGAGTTCACAACCTTATGGTACTGTTTGGGGATGCCGTACTCATGCACGCAAAAAGAAAAATGTTATAAAAATGGAAAAGGAAAAATGAAAATGGTTTTAACAGTTACCCACTGAGTTTACTATGTAAACTCATTTCACTAATTAAATGTTTCGGGTAAGTCTCCAAAGATTTAGAAATGACAGAAAGAGAAGAGTTTGTCTATAGAAGCAACGTACAACTGATATCAAGTAATTTATGATTTGAAATAAATGCTAAGTATTTTGAGAAATTTTTGTTAGTGGCTCTTCAAATAAAAGAAAATAAAATTTGATGTTTTAATATTGTTTTGTTTATGAACTAAAATGATTAGATCCCGCCGTCCGACTTTTAGTCCCCGCCTCGTTAAATCGAGCATTCGGACCAGGTCGTGACAGTTGATCACCTTAATTTTTCCTCCAATGCCACTTCAACATTCATAAGTGTTTTTTCATAGTTGAGAGGAATTGATACCATGAGACAACTACTTCTATCTTTATCAATAAGTTATTAAGTTTGTCAATTTTGTCAATATTTTAACATGTCAGGTTTATGTGATCTTTCTTCTTTGATAATTTATTATTTGTAAAGGGTAAGATGATCATTCGACATATATACCCGCCAACCATTATCTTAACACAAGTTGGGATAGAATGCCAATAAATTTATAACTATTATTGCAAATAGTATGACTATGGTTGCAGTTAGGATTGTAAATTTGCAAATACACATCATTTCGTCTCAACCTCTACATGGATCAATTACTCCCTCTTCTTTTCTATACATAAGATTTCTTATTTCTTTTATTCTCATTCTTTTCTTTTTTATGCCTCTCTAAATCTTCCTCTATATCAACTTATTATCTTCTGAATAAATCAGTGTATAAAATCCACCTTGGTCTTTACATTCAATACCCAATCTTCATCTATAGGAACCTACATTACATTTTTTCCTAGCCTCTGGTGATCTCTAATGGCTAATCATGATATGAGTTGACTCACCAAGGTTTGATCTTAATTAGGGAATTGGTGGATCTTCTTCACGCAAGAAAAACTGAAGCCACTGGAGTTCATTGACAATTATGATGACGGCTCTTGACATCAGCCAGGACTTCATCTGAATGAAGCAACTTCCAAGATGTCAAGATAGACCTTTCATGAAGACAAATTGGATAATTCTATTATTTTGACAACTAAATTAGACCAGTGTAAGTAGAATATTAGGGGTGGCCAATGCTTCATTTCCACTAGGGCACTGCTATTAGCTTAGCATGCTTCATAATAGCAGAAATTGTTGTCAAAGAAGTACATATTTTAAGGTGAGGATGTTCCTGTAGATTCACAACCCCTTGATTTCTTCATTTAAGCAAGCGACCTCCATCATGTTTGGATTGGATGAGGATAACTAGGGAATATGATTCATCTTGTCTAGTTAATTGTGATTGATGGATTACTTTGTCTTTTGCAGGACAAACAACTGGAACAATAAAGCTATTATATGATAGCCAGGTTTTTTATATTTTTGCTTAATTTGGGTTAGTTAACTTTCTAGTGTAGAAATTGAGGCTTAGGCGATTTTGCCATTCTAGGCATATGACAACTTGCATGGAATTGATTTACCACCTTGATTTATTGTTGGTAAATTGGAACATAAACTTATTATACTTTATTATTCTGAGGCTGTTACCTATCAGAAAGCAAGCCAAGATAGCAAAACTTGTACTAATTTGGAGTTAGCATTAACTTGTTACAAATCGCCACTCAGGATTGTTAAGTTGCTTCTGAATACTCTAATCAATTTATATTGGTTATGGTCTAGGCCCTTGTAAAAATAATTCCTTGGCTTGGTTAACAAAACAAGGTTAAGATGATTTCTCAGCCTAGTTACAAGGTAACCGATTAGTTTTGACAGAGCAACGCTTTGCTTGCGTGGTTTTCACATTAGGCATCTTAGGAGGATGCCATGCGATGGAAGCAACTCACCTAATTACTTTTACAATAACCAAGCTTTTAGACAATGGGTTTAGATGAGAGTATATCAATCTCTTGGGAGTTTACATTAACAACCACCTGATAGGGGAGTAGAATTTTGCTCCATGCGTGACTATTGATGATCAACCAATAGTGGAATGTAACCACATGCATAGTCATGGATTGTATATCCATCCCAAGGCATGTTGAAATGCACATTTTGAAATATATATATAGTTAGTTAGTTAGTTAATTAGTTAGTAATGTTTTTATGGGTCATAGAGTGATCATTTATATGTCCACGATTAGATCATATATAAAAAATTTCGATAGATTCCTACCTAGTTCTATAAAATAAGCAAGAGTAACTCAACTGGGCCGATTGATTGCAACTTCCTAGTGACAATGTTAAAGTACCAAGACATTGACATATTTTATACTATCTTTGTTTTACTCATTTTTAGCTTAACATATTCAAAACATTAATGAAAGTTTAAAGATATGTTATCTCTGATTTTATGTAATTAAATAGTAATGGTCTGATAATGAATGCCACCATTAGTAGAAAATCATCACTTTCTTTTACATTATATTTAACACAGAATGAAGCCTTCATGTTGACATGAAGTAATACATACCACTTAGGTCCAGAAGACATCTTTCTGATGTCCCATAGTTTAATAGTCTGATCTTTACCATTGGATATAAAATACCGACCATCTCCTCGGCTGTCAATGAAAGTAATACCTTCTAAATGCCCAGTCAACACTCCTGCAGCTTGTTCTTTTTTGACTATACAACGTCTATCCCAAACCTGAATACTCTATAGTTATTTTCCATTCTTGATAGAAAAATAAAGAATTTGAAAATTTGCACAATAAAATATAACTAAAATAAGAAATTGGCCGAATTTACAAATTAAGTGAAAATAAGATAATATGTGATTTAGTTAAAAGCCGAACCATAGCACTAAGCATAGCACAACAAGGCTTCAACATAAAGAAGGTATGAACTAGGCGTATGTTGAACTCAGATTGAGTTCTGTGACTACCCTTTAGCTGCGGTCACAAATAGACCAACTCAACGCAAAGAACATTTTTGAACTATTTTGCGTATTTGAAAGTTAACAAGATCTCACAACATAACCTATAATCTTCCTACATTTAATAGTTCATGTATGCATAATTGATCACACTCAAGTTGCTACGGCTAAATTTGAAGATAAATATTTTTTGAACAAATCATTTTGAATCATTTCTTTAAACCATATAAATTTGTCAAAGCCCTCTTCCATCATATCCTTTTCATACCAACAGATTCACTGTTTTATTAAAGAAAGATTGTCACTTTAAATCAATGGCTAAATGTCGACACACAAAAAGTTGATGTAGAGAATCGCAGTGCATGATTTTATATGAAGTTCTTTCATCAAATTACTAAAGGAGAACTTATCAGATTGACAACAGACAATAAATTCTTATAAAACCTTCTTTCTGCAAGTGAAGTTTGTTTCTAGCACCCAAAAAAAAAAGAGAGAGCGCTTGTTTCCAGCACAACAAAAAAATAAATAAATTTTAAGTACGAATGAATAGTGAATATTACCTTACAGAGATTGTCATCACTACCAGAATATACGAGATTGCCAGTTTCATCAGCAAAAGTCACTGTGTTCACATCAGACTGGCCAAAAAAGAAAGAAAGTGTATAAATAGTAAAACAGAGTTCAAACAGCCTGCAATTTTCACAAGAAAATGTCTACCAAGACTGGAGAAAAAAATTCTAATTTTTTTTTAAAGCAAGCAATAGAGTACAATTACGTATATACATGGCACAAGAAAGATCCTCGTGGTGCCGTTGTTAATAAGATACCTTCCTGAGTATGATAAGATATTTTACTGTAGTATTGTTAAGTAATAGGTCAATTGCACATTTAAATCACTCTTGTTTCTGATCCAGGTGCATAACTTAATAACAATAAACCCATACTTCAAAATAAAAAATAAAAAAATCTATTTTACTTTTTTTGTTTTTTTTAATCATTTTCATAACAAAATCTGAAATAAATGGACTTATAAATCTATTTGAAATAAAAAATAGAAAATAGTTTTATAAATTTATATGAAATATTACAATTTAATAAGAAAAAATGTTAATGTATTGAATTAATGTCATAATTATTTTGTTTTCATAGGTCAAATCAGTCAACAAAGTGATTATTTTTTTGAAGACCATAAAATGATATTTTCAAATTTCAATGTTGCTTAATAAAAATGATTTGAAAGCATTCATTAATTCCACCATATCTTGAGGGTTACTATTATTGGCTCCATATTGAAATTGTGTTCTCTTTTCCGTGAAATGCTCCCCATTTTAAAATTTTGAAATTTTGGATAATTTGCTTTCCATTTCTTTCTAGATTTTTAAATCTAAAAAAAAAGGAGAAAATGCTATGCCAAAATGGTGCCTTCCCATGGCCTGCCATTTTTCATTTTCTCTCTCGCACATTGCTTTGCTTTATAGCATCTAGAAGGATATTTTTTTTGGGGGGGGGGGAATTGTGGGCAAAGCTCTTGTATTAATCTCCAAAAGATTACAAGTGTGCTGCTATACAATATAAAAAAGAAGATGAGCAGCTACAAAAAGTGAGAAAGCTAACAGGCCAAAAATTAATTAAAAAGACAGGCCAAAAAAACACAAAACTACCGCTTCAAAAATTCACCAAAAAATACCCACTGGAAGAGCAACAAAATAAAACTTCACCACCTAAAGGAAAGAAAAGGCCAACAACCAAGAAAGCCTGCACTAAGAATAAAAATACATTAATAAAAAATTTAATCAGACGGTCAGAAAACACCCCTGGTTGCCCAAAGACCATCCAAGGGATGTCAATCTGGAATGCAGGAAATTCATCATCATCCAAGGACAAGCAATAACCATCCAGATTTTGCATTAGAAGCAGGCACAAGGTCCAGAGGAGGCAAATCAAAAAAATCAGCAGCACACGGTCCAGAGGAGGCACAATCTAGCCCGAACAGAAAGCCAGAACAAACCCAAATAAAGAAGCATAGTTCTTGCATCTAAATATAACATAAGCATCTGATCCACAATGTCAGCACAACTCAAAACAGCAGCCGCACGAAAAAACAAAAGGATTATGATTGGCATAAAGCTCTTAAGATATCCCCATTTTTCCAGGTAATAAGTTTCTTGTCAACTGCAATTTTGATAATAGAGCACAAGGTCCTAATGCTCCTAAAATTTGAATTAAACCTCCTTTCATTTCGTTCTCTCCATAACAAATAAGTAGCACAACAAACGGTCAAGAAATAGTAATGTTTGAGATCTTTCATTGAATAAATCCTATCCTCAAAAAATTGAAGAACCTGAGAAAGAGACGGCCTCAACAAAAATTCACTTAAAAAGGGTATCAAATTCTTCAAAAAATAGAAAGAGTAATAACATTCGAAGAGGAGGTGGGTGGGTAGCAGTTTCAGGGTGGGCAAAATAGAGGCTTCAATTAGGCTCAATACTGATATTCCTTTTTAGTAATTCATCCACAGTTTTGAGACCCCGTCTCATAACAAGCCATGCGTAAACCGAGTATTTTAAAGCAAGATGTTTATGCCAAAAAAATTTAGACCAACATAAAGTATTCTCCTCTTCAAAGAAGTCATTGATAAAAGCAGTCCAACAGATTTTTTTTATTATCCTTCCAGGAAATAGTATGGCTAGGCTCAGAAGAATTAGGAATAGATTCCAAAACAATGCTAATAACAACATCCACTGTATCCGGTAAGATCCAACCACCTCCAGCAATAAATTCAGTAACTTAGAAACGTAAGTGAAGGTGGAGCAAGTGGAATTATGTAAATAAGCAGCATGTAGAGAGTTCCCAAAGACCCACGGGTCCCAAAGCATAACCAGCTTGATGTAAGGAGTGATAGTGAAATTTATATTGTTAGCAGTGCTCTTCTCCACCTTAGAAATAGTGGACCAACGCTTAGAGGCCTTGTTTATGATAGGAGTCCATGGGATAGAGTATTTGCTATTCAACCAAGTAAAGAGGGGAGATTGGGAGTTATAAAACCTAAAGATGAGAGAGAAGCAATTGGCATATTGAAGAGATTGGAGATCAGGAAGCCCAAAGCCACCAAACTTCTTAGGTTTACAAGTATTGTGCCAAGCTATAAGATATAACTTCTTTGCCTTTGTGTCTCCAAAAAAGAGGAAACGAGTAGACATTATACCCAATTTTTGAGAAACCTTTGGGTATGATCGAATTTCTAATCCAATAAGCAATCGTATTCCACACAGTGTATCTAAGATATTGGAGGCCCCGGCCAAAGAGAGGAGCCTAGCCTTCCAACCAGCCAACCATTTAGAGATGGACAGTAAAATAGGTTGATAGTCAGGCGAGCAAAGGTTCTTAGAAGAAATGGGAAGCCCAAGACATGTCATCTTAGTGCAGTGAGTTGGAATGTTGAGAGCAACACAAATTTCCATAGGATAAGAGATGTACTTTGAGATGATGAGCTTGTTTTATCCTGATTAATCTTTAAGGCAGAAGAGTTAGAAAAAGAATTCAAAACATTAAGTAACCTCTCACAATTTTGATTAGAAGCATCTCCAAAGATCAGAAGATCATCAGCATAAAGGAGATGAGTGAGGTGTAAGCAATCAGTAGAAATACCAATGAATATGTCCAGAGATGATGGATTATCAATCAAGCAAGTGAAGACATCCATAACAATGCGGAAGAGGTAAGGGCTTAACGGACAACCCTGTGTAAGACTGGATGAGGATTTGAAAAACCCATCTAAATCCCCATCAATGCAAATAGAGAAATACACATCCGAGATACAAGCCTTGGCCCAGAAGATAAAAAGAGGGGGAAAACCTTTTTGAATCATTCTGTTAAGAAGGAAGTTTCTTGAGACCGAATCAAAAGCTTTGCAAATATCAAATTTCGCACATATCAAGCTTTTATTAGCTGATTTCCTGAATTTTAGCATAAGTTTTGAAGCGAGGAGAACGTTGTCAGTGGATATCCAATCTTTTATGACGCTAGATTGACTATACCCAATGATAAAAGGCATAATTCCCTTAATTCTCATAGCCAAAATTCTAAAAATTATCTTGTAAAAGACATTGCATAGGGCTATAGGTCTGAAATCAGAGACATTAGTAGCATGAGACGTCTTAGGAATGAGGGATATAGCCGTCGCTTTGACCATCTTAGGGAGATACCCTTTAGAAAAAAAAATAATTTGACTACTTTGCAAACAAGAGGCTCAACAATCAGCCAACCCAACTTATAGAACTCAAAATTGAAACCATCGGGACCGTAGAAGAATTAGAGTCCCGACCAACACAACCGCCTTAATTTCATCATCCGATAACATCTCTGTTAGCATAGCCGCCATATGAGGAGGGATGGCATAACCATTAGGAATGGAGGATATATTGGAATGAGCTGGGAGGGGAATTGTAGAGAGATTGGAAGTGCTAGATGATAGATGTAATCATTCCATGTCTATCAGTAGGATCAACAGTAGAAATCAAGTGAGAACAACTGAGGTTCTTTCTTTTTCTAATTCTAGCATAAAGATATTTTAAATCATCTTCACCATGGGTAAACCACTTCAACTTGGCTCTTTGATTCACCCAATTAGACCAAATAGAAGAGCAAACCAATTTTTTTTCATTGATGCACTTAAGCTTCTCATTCATAGAAGTGTTTTAAGGATCCGACCTAACCAAATTAAGGCAATAAGATTGAAGATCATATAAATTGTCTAATGTGGTGGAGAGATGAGTGGAGGAAGCCAACTTCTTACCTTTTGATGATAGATTTGAAGGTTTGTAGCTTGTGGAAAAATTGGAAATATGTTTTTTTTCTATATGGTTGAGCAAAAACAATGATTAAATCGGCCCAATAATTATTCTGCTTCATCCAGAAATTCTTAAAGAGAAATCTGTGGTGAGTTTTAATTTGATGCCTCGAGAGGAGTATGAGAGGGGAGTGGTCAAAGCAGGTAGGGTTTGAGACTTCATAGAAAGAGCTAGGAAAGCACTCAAGCCATGATGAGGACATCGTCAGCGATTTCGACACATGTACCATCAGGAGACGCCGGAGATCGACAGCCACGATCATGAGTTGTATTTTAGTCATTTATTGTAGTAGTTTATTTTGTTTTATGTTTTTTCCGCTTTTACCCTTATGGGTATTTGGTCGCTATTATAGCCCAAGGGGCATTTTAGTCTTTTGTTTTCTTTTTCATTTTGAGGCCTATATATATGACCCTTTTCTTATGTAATAGTAGTTTTTGATGAAATGAAAATTACTTTGTGTTCTCTTTGTGAGTGCATCCTCTTTCTCAAATCTCTTAGTGAGTTTTGAGAAGAGCTAGATCTCTTTGTGAGTTTTAGACCTTCTTCTATTTTGTCTTTGTGATCAAGTAGTGTGAGAACTCAAGGAAATTTCATCCGGATTATATTCGTTCTGAGGTTTCCTCCCCACAACCCAGTCCACTCAGCAACCCCGTTGCCCCATCCTGTTCTGCCGCCGACTTCATTGGCCCTCCAAGCCTTTGGCCGCCACCTTGCACTCGTCCCAGCAGCCGACCTTCAACCCACTGGCCACCCTTGGGTCCCCACCCGCCGACTCCCATTGCCAAACCCTCCCGCCGGCCTGCTCCCCTCACCCCAACCGCTGGAATCGCCACCTGCAAGCCACCGGATCTAGCCTACCCACTCTCCCGTTTGGCCGCTGGTTTCCCATCCCTCCACCTCTTCAATTCTCGTTAATTCCCCCCTTCATAACCTTCCTAATTTGGCTCCAATTGTTTTGAACATATTTTGAATTTCAACAATCCTATTGAATTGAATTGAAGAGCTTTCAATTTTCTCCTAAACCATGAGTTAGGAATTCCCATATTAATTCAAATCAGATTTTAATTAATGACCCATTAATTAGCCGGGCGGGCCCACTACAAACCACTCAAGTACCCCTCCTCTCTCTCTCCCGTATTAACCCTCTTGTAATTTTCCTTTATGGCTTTCCTTTTAGACTAATTTCAGGTTTGAAATTTCTAAAACTGAAATTAAGTCTCCCACAATTGAGATATCTGAATAATAAAAAAAAAAATCAGATTTTTTTTGTTTATTTTCCCCCCATAGCTTCCCCCCACCCCCTCTCCCCTCTCAAACCCGTGAACCCCTCTTTCCCCTAGCTCACGGGCCCACGGCTAGCTCTCCCTCTATTCCCTTTGGGGTGTTTCGTTCCCTTCCGGCAAGGATGCATGGCGGAACCCGAATGGAACTTTGGATTTGTACATGACGATCGAGATCAAGTTGACATCCTCCAATCACCGTTCTTTGACGTGGGCTTCGATTTCGACGACACTATTGAAGATTACATCAACCGTATTCATTACACATTAGTTGCTGTGATCGACGAGCAAAGATCAAAGGAACGTTGGATCATCGTTGGACGACCGTCATCCTCCACCACTCCGGCCACCTATCCAAGAACGACGATCTTAGGCTCCTTCTTACTCGGAGTGACCTCGGTTCTAATGTGGAGACTCTTCTTCCGCTAAGCCTAGACTAGTTGAGTGTATGGGCTCCAAAGGTGAAGTTCTCATTATTAAATCATGGATTCTTGTGTATTGTCGTAGTTTTATAATTGCTCTTTGCGTTTTCTTGAATTGTTTGGGAATCGGCTTTGCTCTTCTTTGCCTAAGAAAGTTAAAAACCAAGAATTCTAAGGATCAATCATTGTTATAAGTAATAAATTTATTGTGGAAACACTTTGTTAATCCGCTATCTTTAATTTCCTAACTCCGGATTGTTTCACATCATCTTGGTATCAGAGCATGGTAGGCATGCATGACATGTGTAGAAAAACATCCTAGGGTCAAGCTTTTCATTGTAGTTTAAAATTTGCATGCATATCATTGCGTAGTTAGATTTTATTCACTGTTTTCACTGCTGTAATTGTATTTCCTGCACGCATCTAGTAAAGATTAAGGCATTCTAGATAGCGTAGGGGTGCTGCCATTAATCCCACATTGACTCTAATTGCTTAGGACAACCACACCCTTGAGTTTAACTGCTGTCCTCACTGTTCCAGCAGCATTTAGCCATCGTTCAGTGAACTTTTAGTCTTTGTTTGGGTGCTGCCCACTCCCTCGGACCATTCCAAACACCTAGACAACTTAAGCAACGGCTGAACTTTGCTGTCCAGAAATTTGCTGCACCATTTAGTGGCCTTTAGGTGATCCTAAAACCTGTCTTAAGTTGCTGTCCACACCATATAACCTGCCCACAACTCTTAGACAACTCAGGCAACTTCCCCAACTGCTGTAGGTTGCTGTCAACAACACTCCTGCACTCGTTTAGTGGACTTTTAGGCTAGGAACCTTAGCATTTAGGTGCTGCCCTCGACCCAATACCCTTCCTAGTCATCTAGACTATTTTATCCACTAATGGGGTTTGCTGTCCACATCTTTAGTGCACCTTCTAATGACAATTGGGAGAATCTAGCTTTGCTTTAGGTGTTGTTCCCTATCTAGATTCATCCCTACGTGTTTCCAAGCGCTTCAAGATGGATCCGATAGGATTTCAAAAGAAGTTAGATGACCTAGTTAATCTTGTGAGCTCTTTAACTAAAACCCCAAAGGAGGAACATGTTCACTCTCCCCACTCTAGGTATGCGCCCCATTCGATCAATCATGCTAGTCGGAAGATGCCCCACTCTGCTTTTCAATCTAGACATGAGTTTAATCCACAACGACTAGAGTCACATGACCATCTACCCACCTTTGATGGTTCATTAGACCCTTACTACTTTAGGGAATGGGTTAGACAACTAGAGGACTATTTCGAATCATGTCATATCCCTGAGCCCCTCCATGGTAGCATCGCTAAGTCTCACCTAAAAGGTCGAGCTCTTCAATTTTGGATAAAATTGGAAGACCATAAAAAGTCTCGCGGTGAGTACCTCACTTGGAAAGACATGAGACGAGAACTTAATTTAAAATACCGACCCTCTACTAGTGACCGTCATCTAGAACACCACCCTACCTCTTTTGTTGGGACAACCCATGGACACTACTGTGGTCGAGACCACCCACCCATTAGTAACACCAGGGTTGCTGCCCAACCCTGTAGGTTTTCCCCTAGCCTTGATGGTCGACCCTCTATGGGGTATTCTGTTGGATCGATCCCATACAACTCCCCACTTAGACCCAATTCTAGCCATTCCAGTCAACCTTTAGCCTCCCCAATCCTCGACCCTGCATATGTGATTTTAATAAAGAATTGCAGTAAAGAGAAAAAATCTAATGAACCTGAGACTGAATACATCCATTTCGTGGATACTATTAATAACAAGGACTTCTTTGAGGATGAAACTGAAGTGATTGAATCAGACTCCTGGCATGATTTAAACCCTGAGCTAGGAAAGTTAGAACCTTTGAATGACGACACCTTAGCCCACCCTGATCCTAGTCTCATCGAGGATACTTCTTTGGATAAGGTTTGCCTGGACGATAGTAATATGATTTTGAAAGAAACTGACCTGACCGTGAACACATTGAAATTAAAATCGGAAGATTCTGATTTAATTACTGAGATGACTCCGAATAATTCGGATTTAATTTTGAATAATTCTATGGCAATGTGGATAATTTCAAATTGGAAATGAGGAAATTGAAGTTACTACCTGAATTAAACCTTGATTTAAGTGACCCCAAATTCATTGATCTTAGGGTTATAACCAAACCTGATCCTTTTGAGGATAGTAATATGAGTTTGGAAGATAGTAATTTGAATCTGAAAGGTTCTGAGCCTAAGTTGAACCCTAAACATCCTCTTGTCTTATTGGAGTCTATTCTAGGAGTTGCTCCTTTAGATTTACATTTGACAGAGTATACCTTTCTTGATTGGACTTATATCATCGACCTTAGTGTTAGAGAGAGTCGTAGCCCATACTTTCAGGTCACATTTCTAACTGTTGTGCCCAATTATGTTAGGGATACCCTACCCCACTTCTTAAGTCCAATACCCGCTAGCCACTCTTTGGGCTATCATACTATGGTAGTAAGTCATGACCCATCGTCTTATCATATTCCTGATTCCTACATTATGCCCTTGATATCCTTGTCCTTCCCTAGTAAGGATATTCTCTCTCCTAGTTGGATGACTTTGATAGATTACCCTACTGTCGCTAGGAGACTTCTCTGTGACCCGAGCTGAGACACCCTATGGAGATGCCCTTTTAGCTAAGGATGTCTTCATTGCTCCCCCTACACCCGTTCCATTAGACCGAACACTTTAGACCCCTCTTTTTGTGACTCGTCCACCTGTTATAGCTACGTGTTTGTGAGTTAGTATGTTGTGTGTGTGTTGTAGTCTGTTGTCTTCCTAATTTGTCTATGTTTAAAACTTTAGTTTGTAAGCTCATGAGTCTTGTCATTCATCATACACACCCGAATCTCTTGCATGTGCATCTGCATTTCACCTTCAGGAGTTACTCAAAGAAATTAAAAAGAAAATTGAACAAAGTAACACCCATTTTAAAATTATTGCTGATAACAAAAGAAGGTCCAAAGAATTCAAAGTTGGAGACTTTGTGATGGTACGGGTCCGCCTAGAGCTTTTCTCCAGGCGCCATAAAGAAGTTGCGTGCTCGAAGCACCGGACCATTTAAGATAATCTCAAAGGTTAATAGTAATGCTTACGTACTGGATCTCTCTTGAGGCTTTAACATGAATCCTACATTTAATATAGAAGACCTAATAGCCTTTGAAGGACCTGAATTTTAACCTCAAAATCCACTCCTTAAAACAGCCTTGTTTGACCCCACCTGGAGAGATCACCAACCTAGCTCCACTCCCCAATTTACCTTACTCACCCATAGTGGAGAAGATCGAAGCAATACTAGATGATGAGGTCATTTCCCTAAAGGAAGGTGGACGCCGACGATACCTAATTCCTTGGAAAGGGACACCGGAGATACAGGATACTTGGATCGACAGGGACGAGCTACAGAGCATAGACTCAGATCTCCTAGAGTTGTACGAGGGCTTCATAGATATCTACTCGATGGGGTCGAGTTTTCTCCCACCTGAGGAGAACGATGACGACATCGTCAGCGATTTCGACACATGTACCATCAGAAGACGCCGGAGATCGACGGCCACGATCATGAGTTATATTTTAGTAATTTATTGTAGTAGTTTATTTTATTTATGTTTTTTCCGCTTTTGCCCTTATGGGTATTTGGTCGCTATTGTAGCACAAGGGGCATTTTAGTCTTTTGTTTTCTTTGTCATTTTTAGGCCTATATATATGGCCCTTTTCTTACGTAAAAGTAGTTTTTGATGAAATGAAAATTACTTTGTGTTCTCTTTGTGAGTGCATCCTCTCTCTCAAATTTCTTAGTGAGTTTTGAGAAGAGCTAGATCTCTTTGTGAGTTCTAGACCTTCTTCCATTTTGTCTTTGTGATCAAGTAGTGTGAGAACTCAAGGAAATTTCATCCGGATTATATTCGTTCTGAGGTTTCCTCCCCATAACCCAGTCCACTCAGCAATCCCGCCGCCCATTTGTTGATCAAAAAATTAAATCACGTGCGTAAAGAAGAGAAATCAACGATGAAATCGATGCGTTCGACGGTGTGGTTCATCACTAGAAAAGTCGAATGATGTCGAATCACCAAATGGATGCGTTGTTGCGTCTAGAACGTCGAATTCCCTTAAGTTGAAGCCCCTTGCAATCGAATAGAGTGCGATCGGTCAAAATTGGCGCCTGACACCTAAAAATGATGCAAACATCGCTCAAACGACATCCTATCACAAAACAGACTTCGTTATTGGGGGCATCATCAATACTCAAAAGAGACTATAAATTTATTCAATTGAAGTCGCACGAGGAGATTGGCGTGGGTTCCGTGGCAATACGTGTAAATCAAATGGGAATATCAATCTCTAGCTCTTGGGCCGACAGGTTGGAAGGATGGATAGGTACTGATAGCTGTTAAGCTTGCAGCTCTGCATTTCTCCTCCCCTCTCTTCTATTGATTTTTCCTCCATATGAGGAAGCTTTAGTATCAAACGTCCCAGATGCAACATGCTCTCTAGGGAGGGTAGTGTTTGTAATCACCAAAAAAACTTGTTTTCAGTCAACAACCCTCTTAGCGATCGGGTTTTAGGCTAGACTAACCTTTCAAAGAAAGCGTGCAGGGTTGTTGATGGAATAAAAGTTTGTGGTAGCTGCAAACACTACTATCCTGCCCAGAGAGCATGTTGTATCTGGGAGGTATGATACCGAAACTTCGTCATCTGGAGAAAGGCTCAATAGAAGATAAATGAGGAGAAATGCAAAGCTGTGAGCTCATCAGCTACCAACACCTGTCCATCCTTCCAACCTGTCGGCCCAAGATCTAGAGACTGATATTCCCACTCGATTTGCGTGTGTTGCTTCGAGACCTGCACCAATCTCCTCGCACGATTTCAATTGAATAAATTTATAATCTTTTTCGAGTATTGACGATACTCTGAATGCAACAACGAAGTTCGTTTTGCGATCGGACATCGTTTGAGCGATGTTCACATCATTTTTAAGTGTCGGCCGCCAATTTTGATCGATCGCGTTCGATTTGATTAGAATAGGCTTCGAATTAAGGGAATTCAACCATCTGGTCGCAATGGCGCAATTCGTTCTGTGATTATACATCATTCGATCTTTCAAGTGACGTGTCGTGCCGTCGGGACATTGCTTTCATCGCTGGTTTCACTCCTTTAAGCGCGTAATTTGATAGGTAGATCAACAAATGCCCCCTACAAATATGGTGTGCATCTAGAGCACGCCACATTTGTTGTGATGCTATTGGTCGTCTTTTGTAAACTTTTGTTATGCATTTATCTCCACCTATATTTATATTTGACTCATTTTTATCTTCTTTTATACAAGCAATATTTTGTTAGCGGAGATCTGATGATGAGACCTCTGATGAGCCTAGTGGTGCCTCCATTTGGAAGGTCATCGATAGACTCGATCTATGAGGAAATACTGATTTCCGTGATAGACTTAAGTAGCACGAGAATATGTTGCGGAAGTACGACATTTTCCATAGTTTTTTATAACGTTCTCCATTGCTTTCAGTGTTCTCGTCAAATTCCATTGCATTTGATAATCCTGGTGAGTCACCAATATAAGACTGCAATGTGAAGAGTACAACCCACTGGATAGCTTAGTTGACCAGTTAGTTTGGGCATGTGCGATATTCTACAGCCTGCAGTCGATACTGTTGAGTCTATAGGACATTAAAGGCTATTGAGTCATCGTCAGTTGCATTCAGTAACCCTAGAGTGGCCGCGTGACTCTACAACTGAGCAAATACAGAGTTCTGTGGCTGGATATGTATTAGGGAAGATATGTATTGAGAGCTCACAGGTATACACTACAAAAAGTTGGCATTTATGAGGCTGTATATGCCTCCATGTTTGACTTCAAGTGGATCTCCTCTACTTGGGCTCGCGAATTAGTGAAGTTTTGGGATAGTGACAATAATACTTGTTGGGTAGGGCTAGAGGAGTTGGAAGTGACACTTTTAGAACTGCATATAGTGTCAGGAATACTCATTGTTGGATGTCACCTCGAAGAGTGTATTCCTCCTGACGAAGAGCTGTTTCGTAGGAGGCATTCAACAAATGGGAACATAAGTGGGAGATTAGTTCTACCATATGTCTACCCAGGCCTCCTTTGACACTACCATCAGGTGTACATATATTCTAATATGTCGATGTGCGTTAGAGATGTTATGCTCGTAGACACGTGGGTTCATAGCTTTCTTCATGACACTTGTTTGTCAGTCATTGCTGCATCATCATACGATCCTTCTGATCTTGGCCTACGACCCAGAGTTTTACTGTCAGAGAAGACTGAAGAGCCTTCTTCAGTTGGTTACAGGTCTCCTGCATTACCAGGCATCGATGAGGATTTACTTTGACAAGGTTCCTATTCACGTGGCTTGTACTTTTATTCACCCACTTAGAGTGGGATCTATACATTGCAGTGCTCTTTTGGCAGCCAATAAGCTTTCTCAGGGACAACACTTTTCTTTGCCAAGTTCTTCGTATTTCTTTAGAGGCAAGTTCCCTTGAGCTGCGGCCTGCGGGATCTAATTTTATACTGATACTATTTATATGGATGGATTTATTTACACATCAGAGTTGCCTTTTCATGCTTAGAGTCTCCCCCATATTTTCTGGAGAGGGGATATCTAATAGTCATGCAATTAACATAGGCCTCTTCCACTCTCGAGTGAGAGCGAGTGCGTCTCTTCTTCTTCGCTTAACGTGGTGGATCATTTTTCTCTAGTCCATTAGTCGGATATTATCAGTTTGACATCCTATCTAAGGGAATAGGTCATTACCGATGGACTTGACATATAGAGATATGTTCTGCTATAGATTAGGGGAACTTTGAGGGTAGCTGAGTACTTTTGTCAGTATGCACCCAGGTTAGCTATACTATCGTTCAGGACACACCGTGACATTGGAGGGTTATCAACCAAACATAATAGCTCGCTAGTTCAGATTTTCACAGGCTACAACATATGACGGGCGGCCACTTATTCCTGGGATAGTAGATACCAGACACACAGACATCGTTCCTCCAGAGGTTCGTTTCTATGCAGCTTCTACAATGTAGTTACACTTGTTGAGAATTAGGACTTGTTCTACCTTTTGCATCACTCCTCACAGTTAGACTGGTGTTAGTTACACACACTTGACCTGGGTGCAGCTTTCTTTTGCCCCTTTTCTAATGCTTGGTGCCCGAAAGTACGAGCATCGAGTGCGGACTTTAAGAGTGTCGAGGGGATAGAGACCCCTACGAGGCTCCTCATGGACTAGGGATGATAGAGGTAACTTCTTTACTCACTTATCCCTTCTTTCTATTGGCATTTAATTTGTTGATTGACATTTTAAACTTGCATCTTCTTCTAACTTTGATGCAGGGAGACATGATGATAGTCACACTGCTACTGAGGGCACTATACCTATTAGAGTACGAGGTGCAAGCTATGATTCGCACTGTACCAAGGCGCCTCGATCTTCTCGTAGGCATTCAGGTTCTCGACATGCTGAGCTTTCCCATGCTTCTGTAAATTAGATAGCCACTCCCGTGCTAGAGCATTTTCTGACTCCTAAGAAGGTCTTAGTGGGCTCCTAGATCTCCATGGATACACCATTCATTTCTAGAGATTCCAAAGAGGATATCCATGATCCCAAATGTCAGATTTCACTGGATATGATGCACCCTGCCCTTTCATAGACTTCAGTTTTTAGGTGGACATGTATAGGTCTTTCTGGACTAAAGAGTCATTCGGAGCTAGGTCGTTCTGGCCTGGTGAGTCATCAGGAGCTAGTGTGGATTCACCTATAGAGCCTCTTGACATGCCGTTGTACACACCTACGATCCTGGACTTAGCACTAGTAGCTACAACATCTTACCTAGAGGCTCGTCCTATTGACTTCGCTAGCTCTTCTTCAGGTATATTGTTATTGCATTTCAATTTCAAATTTCATGCATTTTTCATTAGCTCTTTCCTATATTTTTCACTTATGGGTTTTCCTGCAATAACTGAGGGAGCAGATTATGTGTCAGAAAATCGTTGTCATGCTCCAGTGGCTCCTGAACCTTGGCATGGAGACATGTACGAGCACTGCACGAGCTTTCTGCAAGACTTGATAGCCCGAGTGGATCATGAATCTCCTAAGTCCTTGGAGCAATTTACTTCTATAGCAAATCACACTCTTGGTTTATTGACATAACTTGGCTTAGAGAATTCATAGATGTAGTACTGGGAGACGTGCCGGGAGGTTGAGTTTCATATCAAGAGGTTACCGTCTCTTTCCATTCTACATACCAAAGTCTCGTTGTCAGAGTTAAAATTATCACTTTAGAAAGACTTTATAAATAGTCACATTACAACTTACATTTAAATCTAATGTGGGCCATTAGTTAAGCATAAGCATTATTTGCAAACCATTGTCACTAATTATCACAGTTTGTTGAGCAATTTGTTGTGAATAGAAATAACTTTCACGCTAACATTCATCAAAATATTCTTAAACAATTTATAGCAAATTTATAAAGAATATAAAGAGAGTTGTAGGGGAGGGATATGATTATGGTTCACCTACCCAAAGAGATTTCTTTAAGGACTCTAAAGAGCAAGGTTTCAATAAGGATGTGTCCACGCTGATTCATATGGATAATTGGTATCAATGAACAAGGTCGACTTCCTTCAAACTCTTGGCTTTAGCTTGTATTCACTACAGCTAATATAAGCTTCTACAATGAGCTTCCACAAATATGGTGGTTTTCCCTTGTCTTTAAATTTGTAGCACCGTCACCACCTATGCTGCCATAATCACAGCTCTTTTGATCAAAACATAAGCTCCATTTTGAAGCCATATTGCATGGGAAGGTCATCCACACTTGTGATAGGGAATTCCAAAGATACCTTGTCAGTTGAAAGGACAATTGCCGTTTGACAATTTTGGTTATTTATGAAAGAGTTTCAATATCTCAAACCAAAGAAGTAGCTAAAGAAGACCAATACGAACAATGAATTATAAATTTAACCTTTGTTTTCTTAATCAAACATAGTGTAATGTGTGCTGGGTTCAACATACAACACAATGATATGAAGACATGGAATGCTACATTGAACATCCGATACATTCCAGTCAAGTCAAGATTAAAGTTGTATGATCTTTGGATCTTCTACTTTCAAGAATATCTTTCAGAGTCAGCTAGCAAATTTTTTGACTTACTATTTAAGAGTCAACAATTACTTTCTCTAACATTAAGTGAATGTGATAGGAAACACTTGCAGATCTCAAGTATTTCCTATCAATCTACGAAAAACAGCAAGCTTCTACACAAAAATCCACACAAAACAACGAAAATAGTAGATAACTTGTATTATTTGATGAAAGGGAATGGAAAATAAGAGGATACAATTGATCCTCTATTCGAGGGGAGGATTGATCTCTCCCAAATCACTAGACGCCGCTAGAGCCCAAAAGAAAACCTAAATCTAAGAGATCTCAAATTTCAGCCAAATTCAAGATCCCCTAACCCTAGGAAAACAAACTATTTAATGCATACAAATCAAAAGGAAATCCCTAAACAGTCCCTACATTCAAATTTCCCTCCCAAAACCCTCAAAAATCCTTCCTAAAAATGCTCGTTTGGCGCTTGCGGTGCGGTCGGTTATCAAAAGAGGTGGACGTTCCGCCTCGGTTCCGCCTAGGCCGGTCCCGCGTGGACCGGCTGGACCGGTCAAATAGATTGGCTAACAATACTCCTCTCCCAAAGATCCACCTTGTCCGCAAGGTGGAAAGACAACACCCTCCATTCTTTCTTCATCACAAACGGTAAGAACCTGAAGAGTTCGGTCCTTATACATGAGCCCGGCGTATACCTCTCGTCACATCTGAAACAGAGCCCCTTCGCCCTCTTCTCCTATAATTATATCTCTGTGAGCTTCTTGAAGTTGTCCCCAGGTCTTCCTCCTGCAGTCTTTTCCTTCAAAGTCCCCCAAAGAGTCTCTGATGTTGGCTCCTTGGATTTCAATAAGGTGGTGGTCATCCTGTACGAACCTCTTGAGTTGCTGCCTTCCGTCCCTCCCTTCAGGTGCCTCTGATATTCTACCAATTAAGCTAGCTTCATATCCTCTCCCAAGTCACGATGCCTCATTACTCTAACCGCTGCTCGGATCTCTGGTGTCAATCCCTTCATGAAGTTTTCCTCTAGCATTGTCTCAGAAAGGCAGTACAATCGACTAGCAAGGTACTCGAATCTCTCCTGGTACTCCATCACTGAACCCTCATGTGTCAACGCGAAGATCTGCTCGTAGAAGTCTCCTCCCCTGCCAGTTCAAAAACGTTTCTCTCCAACTCCGTATGGTTCATCGCATGCCCCTCCACTGATACCAAGACAAAGCCTTCCCTTCTAAACATAGGCCCGCCATCGTCAGTCTCTCCTCCTCTGTCAGCCCATTGATGGCAAAACATCTTTCTGCCTTGTAGATCCACCCGTTCGCATCCTCCCCTTAAAGATTGGCATCTTCGATTTTCTCACCCTTAGGTCACACCCGTTTCTCCTAAATCCTCCATAAACTCCCATTCCTCGAAGCGGAGGTGCTCCCCAATTGTCACGATCTTCCCTCCGGCAATCATACCCACCCCATTCATCAAAATCCCCTCTTCTTCTTTCAAAATCAGCACCACGGCGATCGAAATCATTCCCTCTCCTTACAAATTCAGCACCTCTTCTTCCGTAGTCAATGTTGATCTCCTCTCTAGAAAGTGGTTCTAGAGGAGGCATTCCATCTTCTCCCTCTAGGATCTCCAATTATGGCTTTTCCCTTCCCCTAGACGTGTTAGGGTTCCCATCTCTTCTATGGCCACCGGTAGTTTTCTTTGCTTCTGATGTCACAAGTTTGGTTTTGGCTTCAAGCAATTTCTTCAACATGTATTCCACCACGACGAACTTTTCATCCATCTTTTCATTGACGGATGCAATCTGACTTTGAAAATTAGTCATCTTTTCCTCACAATCTGCTTTGAGTTGCTCAAGTTCTCCCTCCAAAACTTCCACTTTCCTTCTGGCCATTGGTTCCCCTTCGATCGATATGCTCTGATACCAATTTGATAGGAAACACTTGTAGATCTCAAGTATTTCCTATCAATCTACTGAAAACAGTGTGCTTCTACACAAAAATCCGCACAAAACCACGAAAACAATAGATAATTTGTATTATTTGATGAAAGGGAAACAGAAAATAGCAAGATGCAATTGATCCTTTATTCGAGAGGAGGATCAATCTCTCCCAAATCTCTAGACGCCGCTAGAGCCCAAAAGAAAACCTAAATCTAAGAGATCTCAAATTTTAGCCAAATTCAAGATGCCCTAACCCTAGGAAAACAAATTATTTAATGCATATAAATCAAAAGAAAATCCCTAAACAGTCCCTACATTCAAATTTCCCTCCCAGAACCCTCAAAAATCCTTCATAAAATGCTCGTTTGGCGCTTGCGGTGCGGTCGGCTACCAAAAGAGGCGGACATTCCGCCTCGGTTCCGCCTTGGTTGGTCCCGCGTGGACCGGCTGGACCGATCCAATGAATTAGTCTAACATAATGCCAAAAATCTCATGAAGAATGAAACTTCATCTTCTTATGGATGTAAAATCCATGATATAGAGCTGTATAACTTGAAGGCCTAGTGGTATCACACAGCTGATTCAATTCCTCTATATTCATTAGTATCAATTTCATGATATTTTATTTTCCATATTCTTGTTATCTTTCTTGAAGTTTTCCTCAATTTTGTTAGTTTGAAGCAGTGACTGTCAAACAGACTACTTGAGAGTTCTAAATCTAGCATCAGGTAAATGAAAATATGACGATTTGGAACAATATCATATATTGCATATTCACTCTTAATGAGTTAGGTTTTCCTCCTTTTCTCAAACTTTAATTCTTTGTTCCTTGGTTTTCATTTTAAGTGGATTTTGGTTGTGGTTGGATTCAGTAATTTGTGCCTATTTGACTTAATTTTAAATTAATCATACAGAAACAGAAGATTTAATTATTCTTTTTAACAATTTGCTCAATGTCCTAAATATTAGTGAGTTTCCATAAAAATTTTGCTTCTCGCACTAGATATTGATACCACCAGACAAAAATGGCATCATATACAGTTCCTGAATATTGAAAAGAAAATGTCAAACATGCATGCAGAAACCTACAGCATGCAACTACAAAAAAGAGAATACTAAAACTGTGATATTTGTAACAGTATTTGGCATGAAAAAAATGCATCATTAACTTTTTGTAGAGGTAAAATTAATATGAAAATAACTTTTCAAAAAAAAAATTACACAAATGCAAGTGTAAAGTTTCTCATACAGAGTGAGCAGGAAACCGAGATGTCAACTTATTTGCCTCCAAATCATAAACATAAATGGAAGCATCACTACTTCCAGCAACAAGCTCCCGACCATCAGCTGAAAACTCAATAGAAAAGATACCAAGAGAATACACCCCATCACTATGTGAAGAGAAGTCCAGCCCATCATGAATTTCCTGCATGACAAAAGTAGACAAGACATAAACCTGAAACCTGAATTGCACTATGAACAAGTACACTGCTCTTCAAGTGATCTTGGAAGCACGGCATAGAAAGAGAAATGATAAAACCTGCATTGTTACCAATCCTACTTTCTCGTTATGCAAAATTGTGAAAAGATAAGTTAATTGTACTAACATAGAAAGGAAACCCAAGAAAAACATTTATCATGCGATCCCATTCACGGCAAAGGAGAAATGTGGATGCAGAAATATTAGCCTCATATCCTAATTACAAGTCATTTTATAAGTAAAGCTTATCCAAGGTACAAACATTTTTGGTGACATTATAAAATGACTGTTCACTTCACTTATGGAAAGACAGATCTGAGAGCAATCACTTATACTGAAAAACCAATCTAAATTGAAGTTTAAAATCATTTTGGAACCATTTGATGTGGTTTGGATTACTGCTCATGGATAAGAGGCTTAGCAACTAGAATAAACACCACATGCAGCTTCAATCAGAGAAAAATAGCAAGTACAACAGAAAACTCGTAGAGATAAGGTTGTGTTGCTGCTAATGATGAAAGAGCATCAAGAGAGAACTTGGTCGTTTATATGCAAGGACAGTGTGCACAGACTTGACAATAAAATTTTATTTTTAAATAAAGTAGTTAACTCCTAAACTTGAAAACGGACTATTTCTATACAAATTAAAAAGGCTGATGCTGATTGCTCATGTTGGAAGAGTACATGCAGGATAAATGGTCGTTTACGTTCATTTCAATGAAGGATAATCAAATTTGAGAAAGAAAAATGTGATTTAGTATGGTGGCTTAGTCACTAATAGGAAAGTAGAGAGACGGTTAGTAAGTGATATGCTGGTTGATCCACAATCAATATCTTAAACTTTTAGGTTATCTCACTCCAACTCCACAGTTCTATTCTCTTTTACACCTAGAATGTACTCGTGAATAAATAGCACAAGTAATTCTAGCATTAAGTTCATAAATCCACACACAATGCTCCCATAAAAGCACATAGCTAGAACATAGATCATATTTGGATATCATTAATCAAAAGAAAAAAAAACTTTCTTTTTTGCTCAGGAGTCCATGCAAATAGGTTCTTATGAGTTTTAGACCCATACAGATACCTTTTATCATTAATAGCAAAAACAAACTTATCCAGGGAATAAATTTTAATTATAAATGAAGGCAAGAACTTGCCAACACAATAATAGCCAAAAATAGTTTTCTTGCAGAAGAAGGATAAGAGTTATTTATTCGAAACCAGGAGAATTAGCTCTGGCTATAAGAGAAACATTCAAAGTTAAATGCAACTTAATTGTCACAAATATAGTGATATCTAGGTGCAGAACTAGCTATACTTTTGCGGTTGGGAAAACTCAATATATGAATAATTAAATTTTTAAAAGATAAAACATATATAAGAGTTAATCTCAAAATAGTCCCTTCATATGTAGAAATAAATTTTATAAGCCAAGAGATGTGAAAAGAAAAAGTAAGTCAATTCTTTCCTAGGGCGAAGATAGATACTACAATTTTGCTTACAGCATGGAACGTACAGTAACATTGGCAAGTGACTCTTTTGTAGTAGATCCCACATCTACAATATGAACAATTGGTGACATACTGGCATATACCTACAATTAAAAAAACTGTAGTTAATTGTAAGTGCTTCAGTAGAAACTCAGTAACAAGCTAAATACGCAGTATAAAAATTGTGCACAGGTCAGAAACTTTTTTTGAACTAAGTGATTACTTGATACATAAAAATAATAATAATAAAGATACATGATCATGGGAACAAAGAACACCAAAGGACCCTAGGCCTATCACACATCAAACTTAAGATTACAATATCTGTAATGTTTCAAACTTTCTGTAGCAGAAGATCAGACCAAATTGTACAGGAAAACTAATGTTCATGCCACAAATTATAAGATTATTTGAAAAGTGTATCATTTTGTAAGAAGGCAGTGATTTCTAGGGATATCAGCGTTGTGACGGCTTTTGGGACTCAAGTACATTGAGGTACACATTTTAATGATAACTTTTTTTGGGGACAAATTTGGGGCCAAAGCCCATATTATAAACTATGAAGAAAAAACATAATTACAGATATTAAAGAAAAAAACCAGCAACTATTCAAAACAAAAAGAAACATGTAAGGAAAAACTATAAGGAAAGGAGAAGAAATAAATACGACTCCAGGAGCAGAGAGGACTCAAAATGCTCCACAAAATTGGAACGTCCAGCAAACAAAAAGAGCATCGAAATCTCCTGGTTACCAAAGAGACCATCCAAGGAGAGGCTGGAAAGCACCAACACTCATCTTTGTCCGTCCAAAAAACGACCAACCATTCTCAAGAGAGCAACAAAAACCAGCCAACGCCATCCAAGAGGCAATACAACATCAGATCCCAGGTTGCCAAAAAACTAGCCAAAACCAACCTGCGCAAAAGGCACGAGGCCCTCCATGGGATCCAAACAAGGCAACAAAAAATCCACCCAAGACCGGCCTTACCACACCTCAGAGAAACCGAATATCAACCAACGCCATCCAATAGGCAAAACAGCATCAGATCCCAGGTTGCCAAAAAAATCAGCAAAAACCAACCAACGCAAAAGGCACGGGGCCCTCCATGGGATCCAGACAGGGCAACAGAAAGTCTAGCCAAGACCTGCCTAACCAAAAAAAACCATAACCTCAAAATAACTCAAGAAACTTTTCATGAAACTGAGCATACTTCTTCCGGTCTTTAATTTTGAGCCTGATAGCATTCTTGATAGTGAAAATAACATGGTGGAAACTTTCCCAATTTCCAGAAAAATTTTGATTGTTCCTTTCTCTCCAAATGAAATAAACAGAGCAGCAAACCACCATGAAGCAAAAGTTTTTCTCCCAAGCGTGCAAATGTAAGGAATTATCCAGAAAATAAAAAATTTGCATCAAACTAGACCTTAAAAGGAAAGCAGCCAAAGGAGGTAAGAGGGAAGAAATCACCAAAAAAGAGAAATCACATTCAAAGAAGAGGTGGTGATGAGTTTCAAAAACAGTTTGGCATAAATAACACCTCGGTTGTACAGCAATAGACCTCCTAATAAGTAAGTCAGACGTTTTAAGCTTCCCCAAAATTGTCATCCGATCCAGGCATAGACAGAGAACCTCAAAGAGTCTTGTTTGTGCCAAACAAATTTGAGTCAAGGCACCTGATCAAAGTGAGCATAAAAAAGGAAAGTGAAAGATTTAAAAGCAGGAGAATTAGAGTCATCTCAGGTGACAACCGGTTGCTCCAAAATAGGGATCATAGAGACCAGCAGTCTAATATGAGCAGGAAAGGTGGACAGGAGGGTCCACACATTGCCAAGCATATAGTCCCAAACCAGTTGTAAGGAGTTGCGAGGAGTAAACAATTTCGTAAGAGGCTTGCAATTACACCAAGGATCCCAAAACATAAAAAAATAGCATAGCGGACCAACAAAAAAAGAGATTTTATCCAAAATTCTGCTAGCAGTTAAACATATATGCTTCCAAAACTTAGTAGCCATAATAGGAGCTTTCTTCCAAGGGGGCAAGTATTTAGCTCTAAGCCAAGAGCACATAATAGAGTCATTGCATTAGAGACGCCAAATATAGGAGCAAGCCACTCCAAAATAGATAGAGTCAAAAAAAGGAATACCGAGCCCACCCAAAGCCTTAGAAAGGGTAGTAGTATTCCAAGCAATTAAGTGTAACTTTTTCTCTCTAACATCCCCATGAAATAAGAATCTCGAGCATAATTTAGAAATGGCATTATGGATAGCTTTAGGTATGATAGATCCTCTAATCCAGTAAGTCAAAGTGTTGGCTATGGAAAACTTGAGAAAATAAACCCTACCTGCAAAAGAAAAAAATTTGACTTTCCAACCCTTAAGTAGAGCAGAGATTCTGCTCAGAAGAGGCTGGAAGTGAGTAAATTTAAGATTTTTGAAAGAAATGGGAAGGCCTAGATAAGTTAGCCAAGTATCAACATGGGATATTTTGAGAATGCCACAAATCTCATTAGTGAGGTGAAGTGGGATATTTTTGGAGAAAAAAATAGAGCTCTTGGAAGGGTTGATGTGAAGACCCGTGGCATTGCCAAATTGAGACAGAGCATCAACTAAGGAGGTAGCATTAGGACTAGAGGCCACCCCAAAAACTAGTAAATCATCAGCATACATGAGATGTAAGGTTTAGCTCATTGTAATCAACTCCTTTGAATTGGGTGGGTGAAGAAGAAGCATTAAGGCTATAAGAAAGAGCGTCCATAACTAAACAGAAGAGTTAAGGAGATACGGGACAACCCTGACAAAGCTTAGATATGATCCATCTGATAAATAAGTCAGGAAATCCTTTCTGCTTAAGTCTATTAAGTAAGAAAGCCCGAGAGACAGAGTCAAAAGCCTTCTTAATGTCATGTTTTGCGCATAAAAATCTCTTGGAAGAGTCAAATTCTTTAAGCACCTCAGTTGCAAGAATAACATTATCTGAAGAGGATTGTTTGTTAATAAAACCAGCTTGATTGTCTTGAATGATGAAAGGAAGAATGCCTTTAAGCCTTAAAGCCAACAACTTAGCAATGATTTCATAAAAAACATTGCACAGAGAGATGAGCCTAAAATCAGCAATGGAAGATGCATGGGGCCCCTTGGGTATTAAACAAATAGTCGTAGCCTTCACACCTATAGGGAAGTGCCCAGTCTTAAAGAAGTGCTGAACAACATTGCAGACAGTGAAACCAATAATATGCCATGTGAGATTGAAAAACTAAAAAATGAACCCGTCTGGACCAGGGGTCGAGTTGGAAGAACCCTTGAAGACCACATCCCTAATGTTTTCAAAGGAGAAAGGCGCCACCAACTTGTTAGACATATCAAGAGAGACAAGTTTACCCACTGGAATACAAAAATCATCCTCATTAGCAGGCTTTGGGGAGTTGAAAATGGATTTAAAATGTTGTATGATGGCATCGACAATGGCATTATGTTCAGATAGGGTGCCCGAAGCGGAAACAATTTCTTTTAAATAATTCAAATTCTTACTGCTCCTAATCTTCGCAAAAAAAAAAAAATCAAGATCGTCTTCTCCATTAGAAAGCCAATTGGCTTTGGCCCGTTGGGAGATCCAAGAGGCCCAAGCCGATTGCATGTCTGTAAGCCTGCTATTAATGTCTTAAAGGAAGAGTTAAGATCCTTATCCAAAGGGCTCCCTTGCAAATCAAGAAGGCATTGATATTGCTTAAATTTGAGTTCATGAATAGCTTTGGATATGGATTTTGAAGATGCACAATTTCTCTCTTTAAGGGCCCTTTTCAAACTTTGCGGCAGTAGGACTACAAGAGGTGTTCCTAGCAAAGGAATTAACCACATCCTCCCAAAAACCATCCATACGGGTCCAAAAATTCTTAAACATAAATCTGGAGGGTCGTGTGTTGATCAGAAAAGAGTGATCCAAGCAGGTTGGGGGAGCAATCCTATATAAGGCAGTAGGATAAATGTCGAGCAAAGCTGAATTAACCAAAACCCGATCCAGTTTGATGTGGATAGGTTGGTCCACCCTATATTATTAAACCAAGTGTAAAACAACCCAACAGAGGCTAAATCTTGCAAACCACAATCGAAAATAACATTGTTTAGTTCCCCCACCTGCCAGAAAAGACCCGATTAGAACCATCTTTTTCACCTTCAAACCTGAAACAATTTAAGTTCCCAATAATTATCCAGGGCCGAGGAGGATTTGGGGTTAAATTCCAAAGATTATCCCATAACAGCTTCCTCTCCTCAACAGAGGTAGCAGCATATACAACCGTAAGCAATAGGGGAGGATCCGAGCCAGCATACAAAACACCATGAATTAATTGAGAAGTGCATTGTGCACAAGGAGGGGTTGAAAGAAAGAAGATAACAATCCCATTTTAGCCAAATCCTAACAGGAATAGCCAGGCTAAAATTATTGCAATTATTTTCATTCTCAAAAACCAAATGAGAATTGATAAACCACGGGTCATCAACAGCATCAGAGTGAACTTTAGCTTCTAATATACATAATAACTTTAGCTTCTAATATACATAGTAACTTTAACTTGTGAGAACGTACAAAATCCCTACAAGAAAAAACCTTATTGGGCCTATTAAACCCTCTGATGTTCCAACAAACAAAGGGTGGCAAAACCATCAGGACTTAGCTGATTTGAATTTTTTGCCAGAATTTGCCCTGGTGGACTTGGAAAGAGGGCCTGAGCTGGCTTTCGAAGGAGGCTTAGAGAAAGAGGGAGAAGAGTCCTCTTTGCAGGAATCCAAAGGAGAAGAATTAACTGTAGGAGGCTCTTCCGATTGGGAGTTCGTGGTAGATAGAGGAACTCCTTATGGTTCAAGACCCGCAAACTTGTTGCGGTAGGCACATTAGGGGATTGAATTAGGTCAGGTAAGGAGGAACGGTCTGATGAGGAAGTTTCATCAGATAATGTTTTAGTGGGAGAATTTAAGTTGCTGAAAAGTTGAAAACAGACCCAAATAATTGCATATAATTGGAAGCACTCTATGACATATAGTTTTTTCCCTTTAAATACCTCACAATAATGAATATTTAGTAATTGGTAATTTGAACTGGCAACATACAAGAAAGAGGCTTAAGATAATGTTTTAATTATAACTAAATAAATAATAAAAAAAGATGCTGAAAAGTTAAAACAGACCCAAATAAATGCATATAACTGGAAGCACTCTATGACATGCAGTTTTTTTCCCTTTAAATACCTCACAACAATGAATATTTAGGAATTGGTAATTTGAAATGGCAACATACAAGAAAGAGACTTAAGATAATGTTTTAATGATAACTAAATAAATAATAAAAAAAGATGCTGAAAAGTTAAAACAGACCTGATGCATGCAAATTTCAGTTTTTTTTCTTAGTATTATTGTAATATGAATGCTATATTTAATTTTGTTTTTATTATGCTACCCTATGATGGAAGGCAACCAATGATCATGAGTAGGTAGTGCTTTGGACATGTATTTCTTTGGGTGTGCTAGCTACTTTGGTGCCTTGGCTCTTGGGCTGATTTGGGCTTCTCGGTTTGGGCTGGGTTGTTCGGATTTTGTTGCTTTTGTTGGGAGCTGCTATGTTTTTAGCTCATTATTGCTAAGCTATTGCTTCTTATTCAGCTCATTAAGTGGTGTAGAATGCCTTTTTCAGCTCATTAGTGGGTTTGTCCTAGTTCTTCCCCCCCTCTCTGTGGCCTTTCAATTTCTCCGCCTGGCTCTTGTCTCGTGGTTGGTTCCTGACCCATGGCTGGCTGTTGTTGTTCCCCGTGGTTGCCCGTTACTGTCACCCGTGTGGTCCCTTCGGCTGCTATTCTAGGCATTGCCTATTGGCCTTTTGGCTCCCCTTTTTTGGTTGGTTCTGCTGGAGGTGATTGGGGTTGTTTGACTACCTCTTTTCACCTATAAATATATGATATTTGGAGACATTTAGAGGTTGTTGTTTGATGAGCAAAGTTCTCTAAAAACCTAAGTGTTTCTTCTTGAAAAAGCTTGCAAGCTTGTTCCATTTCTCTTCTCCTCTCTTCGATTTCATCTTGGGCTTCTTATCTACTTCTTCTCTCCACAAGTTTCCACTCCACTTGTATCTTTCTTCTCAAGCTATTGGAGGTGTTGGTTGGCCGGTTTGGTAGCATTTGCCGAAGGAGTTTGTGGTGGACGTTGGCCCAAGTAGCTATGGTGGACCCCTTGGTTTGCATGTCCTTAAGCATTTATTTTATATTACCAGCTATTTCGTTGCATGTGAGGTGACCACTAGTTGGTTGTTCTGAGGGTAGCTATTTTATTTTTAATTTAGTTTTCGTTTGTTTGGAGGTTTGCTCAATGTTGGCTTTCTAAATTTTGAATCAAGAAAAGTTCTACTAGTCCTGTTCTCCCTTTTTGGTTTTTCTATCTAGTTGTCTGCATCAAGACCCAAATAAATGCACATAACTAGAAGCACTCTATGACATGCAGTTTTTTCCCTTTAAATACCTCGCAACAATGAATATTTAGTAATTGGTAATTTGAAATTGCAACATACAAGAAAGAGGCTTAAGATAATGTTTTAATGATAACTAAATAAATAATTAAAAAAGATGCTGAAAAGTTAAAACATACCCAAATAAATGCATATAACTGGAAGCACTCTATGACATGCAGTTTTTTCTCTTTAAATACCTCACAACAATGAATATTTAGTAATTGGTAATTTGAAATGGCAACATACAAGAAAGCGCTGATCAGGAGAAAGGGATGTATCAGTAATTGTCCAGCTCAAGCTTCTTGCCAGAATGTCCTTTCGTACTTTCCAGTCATTATCAACATCATACACTCTTATATGACTTCCCTGTTTCAACAATTAGAATTTGAAAGCTTTGGTAAGAGCAGGAGCATAAGAAAAGTCATTTTTTGAAAAAAAAAAATAATAATATTGTGGATAGAATTTAACATCATTTAATTAGATTAATGAGCACTTCATACCTGAAATCCTGCAACAAAGAGAGAACCATCAGTTGAGAACTGTGAAACATAGGCTCGGGTATCCATTCTGTCCACTGGCCATGGGCCATAGACAGGAAGATATCTGCCAAGAATATGAGAACAATCTGCCATAGAAAACCTTCCCTGTCCTGAACAATTTGTCTCTCTTCCAAATAACATTTTGACTGTCGATATAGGCATCTTCTTCCCTGAAAGTATTCCCTTACTAAAACCCTCACAGGGTTCAGACCGCAGCTTAGTAAGCTGAAAAATTTCATGTTTAACATTGAAGACAGAATTCTCCAGTCTGGGTGAAGCTGCGCTGTGTCCCTGTTCAGGTGTACATGAGTAGCCTTCCATGCTTGGTTTGCTTAAGGAATAACCCATGCACATAGCCTGGAAAACACTTCACCCCATTGCCCAATGAGCATAGAATGAGCTCAACTTACAATTCCTATTATAAAATAAAGACAGCGTAAACCCCAAAACTTGCAATTAGTTATGAAAAACTACATATAGAAATGATAAGAAGTTCATAAAATCAAGAAACTATTAACATCTTAGATTCTAAGACAAAATGGTCAAGAAAAATGGCAGATACATCATCTAGAGTTATTTGAGGCATGCTCTATCTTTAAATTTCTTATTTCCTTATCAATAACAACATCAAGCCTTTGTCCCACTATGTGGGGTCGGCTACATGAATCCTTTTTCGCCATTGTGTCATGTTAAAAGTCAAATTCTCATTTAAATCTAATAATAAAATATCATTTCTAATATTTTCTAACCAAGTCTTTTTAAGTTTACATCTACCTTTCTTTACAAAAGACAAATCTAAAACCTCAACTTTCCTAACCGGGTCATCGGAAGGCCTTCATTTAATGTGACCGAACCATCCAAGGCGACTCTCTCTAATCTTATCTTCCGCTGGAGCTACTCCAAACTTTTCACATATATACTCATTTCGTATCCTATCTCTAAGGGTAAAGCCACTCATCCGCCTAAGCATCATCAACTCTTATTTCCTTACCAGATAAAACAAATCTATAAGTTGATGATTAGTATATAAAATATGCATTTTGCATAAATGCACAACGTGCTGAAATTTTACATCCGCTCACTTGAACGCTGAAACTGATAAACTTTCACCATTAAACTCCTTTCTTTGTGCAACTCTGGATGGTATAAACACTCCCTCCAGCAATCTTTCATAAGTTAAGCAAAAGTTATTATTTTATTCGCATATAACAAGATGAGATCAGCAAATCAGAACCTGAAAGCCAAGGGGTTTACATCAGTAGAAATCATAAACAGTTGACAAACAAGTAATGGATTCTTTAATAGCAATATACCATATCTTCGAAAAAGACGGAACATCATAACATAAATGTACAAAAATAATCCGAAGCAAAAAGCGAATGACCAACCTACACAAAACACTAAACTAACGCCGGGCATCAAATTCTTGTTAATATACAAGCAAAGAAGTCAGTGATTAGGGTTCAATTCCATACCGAGGAAGTCTGAAAGATCCCGCCGTCCCTCGTTTTCTCTGCTTGCAGTGCTCGAGAGGCAAAGAGAGGAGAGAAAGAGAGAGCAACATATACTCCTTTTGCTCGACTTCAGCCGATGACTTCTTGGTAGGAGATGACCATCAGACCAAATAAAATAAATTGGTCGTTCTACAGAAAATTTAGATATTGAAGAGAGATTTTGCTTTATATGCATTTTTGGAAAAAAAAAATTTATCTCATCAAAATTCTATTTATAGAAATATACTAAAACGATTATTTAGGATAAAAAATTTATCCCAAATGAAATATAATCTTTTATATTCACAAATTACTTATTAGACTATGAGTAATTTAAAATTTGTTTTAACTTTTTGGTATTCAAACTAATCTAAATTGATTGAAATCCTTGTTCGAATCAATATTCTTCTATGAACCTTTGTTTTGAATCAAATAAGATTCATAATTCTTGTTTGAGAGAACCATACTAGTAGCGTACTAGTGGAGAAGAAAAAATTTGACAGAATATTTTCACCAATTACAATCAACATTGAGATTTTGGCAGATAAAAAACATGTTCTTTATTGAAACTAATTATTTGTAAGAGGAACTCTATGTGTTAGTGAGTATGGTGAGAGGGCATAAGGAGTTGGCATGTACTTCATGCTTAATGGAGTGGTAGATGTATGCCCTTGGTTCGATTAACGACTGCTCCCAATAATCTCGTTTAATGAGCTAAACTTCTCCTTTACGCTCAATTTATTTTGTCAAATCCTTCCCAAATGAGTTATGTTGTGAACTATACTCCTTCACACACATCGATGATTCTCCCAACAAGAGAAGAAAGCGAACTCTACTTTTTCTTCAATGGTTGCTGATTTCAACGATGCCTCCAACCACCAAGAGACAAACATGACATCCAATTGTACTTCACATAACATATTTTTTGTTGATGCCTACCCCAATAATCTACCATTACAAACTCAATGTTTCACTCAATAATCCTTCACTTACCATTTGACTAGTCAATTCCTCCTATATTGAGATAGGAATGATGATCCCTTAGCAAGAATGTTGTGTGAACCAAGATTCCTTTCTAGTCAAAACCTTGATTCCAACCATGGTTAGAATCCAATTCGAACTTGGGTTCAAACCTTGGTTTGAATTAGGATTGAATTAGTTTTGAAAAGCTTCAACTTTATGATGTAGTCCACTAATATAAAAGTTTATCCCTCATGGCATTAATTTCATTCAAAATAGACTTTCAGGTACATTTCTCCTAATAAATATATATTGACGTTATTTAACTAGTTATGTGTATTATAAAGCATATAAAATCAATTTTCTATCTACATATATACTATAAATTTAATTATTATTATTATTATTTAATTTATAAGCACTTAAAATCATATATGAACCTTAATAATAATCTATAATAATTTCATTTTATGTTTTTTTTTTTTTTGTGATGACTTTAATGTAGGATTATTGATTAGTTGTTATAAAATCCAAAACTCAAACTTGGATAAGTTACATGTAATTTATGCTTAAGTGAGAAATCATGTTTAAAAAAATTTTAGTTTAACAAATTCATTTTTTTGTTTGGTTGGATGGGGGGAAGGGACATGAATAGAACTACTGCACATTAAGACAAAATCCTCATTACTAATAGTATTTAATTTCCATTTTCTAATACAAGAGCAACTAAAATCATCAATATTTTCTTCTCTGTAGGAGCTTCTTAATAAACTAAAGAAAAAAAAAGAGGGAAGTGAAGAACAAGTATGCGTCTTCTCACAAATTGAATCATTATTCCACCTCAAAAAACATTGGTTACATCTGCTTTTTTTAGGGGGAAGTTCAGAGAGAAGACCCCAAATTGAAATTAAAATGAAAGGATTTGTAAGGATTCAAAACTGTTTTTGGCAAAAAAGTTTAGACCGAGGTGCTGAAAGAAATCAAATGAGAAGTGTTGATCATGCTTTCTCCAAAAACCCTGGTCCAAGGGGTTGAACATGGTCAAATTGATCCAACCATTCCAAGACCCTCCAATCAATTCAATGGGTCAAACTAAACTTTGATGAGCCCTAACCTAGGCTCTGGGTCAACCTAGTTGACCAGGTCAACCCTGGGTTGACCCAAATTGACCCAAATACCCCTCTACTTGGGTTTCAAATCAAATCCAGAGCTTCTCAAGCGTCAGAACTCAGCCGCGGTGTAATATCAAAAATCTGCTCAGGATCTTCCAGGACGTCTGGATCGTCCTGGGACGATCAAGTCGGAAATTCTGCTCCAGAATGTCCCAGATTTGCTCCAGGTGATTTTCTGTACATATCGTCCAGGCCGATTGAGGACATCTCATGCCCCGATCGGCACTGTAGAAAAATGTCGGCCTGAGAGATAGTTTCTGGGACCGTCCAGGACGATCCAAATTGGTCTGATCGTCCTGGGCGATTTGGCGATCGGCGGGCCGATCTGTTATTATAAAGCTGATTTTCAAGTCATTTGGAAGAAGAAGAGAAATTTTATAAAACGAAAAAAATAATCTTTTGTGGAGGAGAGGAAAGTCGAGAGAAATTTGGGAAAAAAAGTTGATTTTCGGAACGAGCGGGAGCTGTTTCGTCGATGTGAGGTTAACGACTTGGTTCGAGAATTGGCTTAGCGCAAGGTTAAGGCACATTCCGCCTTTTCAATTTTCAGAACCGTCGAGTTTGGCGGTATTTTCTGTCCGGATTTCGTTTCCGTTAATGTTTTTCGTCCGTATCTTTTGATTGGTTCAGTTTTTACCGCGTAACTTTCTGTATATTGTTGACGTGCCGAGTGTGCACATTTTGGTTATTTTCCGAAGATTTTTGTCCGGGTATTTTGATTCGGCGTGTTTTTCGTTGACTACATTTTTCTGTGAAATTGTAAATTGTCGGGGCAGTAGAATAAATGTTCTGAAATGTGATTATCTACATTCTGTGCGAATTTGGTGAATTTATTTGCAGGAAATTTGTGTAAATTCCGTATACTGCCGTTGTGCTGCCCGATTTTTGTCTGATTCCTGATTTGCCCGGATTTATTCTGAATTGAAATGCTATCTGTATAAGCTATAAAAAGGGAGTTATAAGGGGCCTGGATCCTATGAGATTCAGTTAGTGTCTGGGAAATCTGAAATGAGCTCAATCTGAAATCTGATATCTGTTCTTTCGGATCCGATGAATTCTGTTCTGGTGCTATAAGCACATCTGTTCTGGTGCCGTGAGCACAAGGGAGGCATAAGGGGCTGGATCCTATGAATTCAGTCAGTGTCTGGGAAGGGAGGCATAAGGGGCCGGAATCCGTAGAGATTCCGTCAGTGTCAGGGCATTTAGCTATGAATTAAATATTATCTGATATCTGATTTGATATGATTCTGATTTCTGTATCTGTTCTGTAAGCCAATTGTGATTCTGATACGATATGATCTGAAATTCTGATTTTGATTTCTGTATGATTCTGACTCTGTTGATTTATTCTGTTCTGATTGGTATTTTGATGTGATCTGATCTGTACGACTCTGATTTTGATTTGATCTGTTCGTATCTGTTCTGATCTAATCTGTTTCCGTTCTGATCTGTCGATTTGATATCTGTACGATTCTGTTCCGATTTCTGATTGGATTTTGTCTGATGTGTTGGTTTTGAGATTCTGAGAATTTTGATTGGAGGTTTGTTGCTTGCTGAACTTTGAGCTCACTCTTGTTTTCTGGTGGTTTTCAGGTTCTGGGAAAGGGAAGGAAGTCCAGGACTAGAGTTCAGAGTCTGATCAGTATAGGTACTTTTGTACTTTTGATTTTTGTACGGTCATGGTTTTCTCTGTATTTCTTCTGCTAGCATGTACCGTATCTGTAGATGATTGTTTTGAGGAAAAGAAAGAAAAGATAAGATGTTTTGTTCCGCTGTGTTTGATGATTCTATAGTAGCTCTGTGTTTGTGTGTCTAATGAGTTTAATTATTTGGAGAAATCAGTTCAGTAACCAAATTCCAAAGCCAGATCCTGGATAAACGGTTCCGTGTCGGCCCGGTGCGAGCGGGGTCCTCCCGGATCGGGTCGGGTCAGTGACACCTGGCCACCATTACTTTTATGCAGACCCTAGGTTTATATTTATACGGCACTTGCCGTGGACTTTACTTTACTGTGTTGGATTAATTTATATTGATGTATTTCTTTTTTGTACGCAGTAGAAATTATCTGTTTTTTTAGGTTTCTTTCTTGCATGTGTGTGGTCTGATCAATCGCTAGGCTCTTTAGGGTAAAATATTTTTCTACTCATAATTAATATTCAAAATTTTTAAGATTAAATAACATAGAAACCAACAACCTAGGGAATAGTCAAGAATCGTCCAATTCTAATAAGACATTTCCCCACTGTGGGTAGAGTCTGGATAATCTGACAAATGAGGATGAAGTGTTGGCCTGGAGAACCTAATCTTTTTTTCAAAAAATTATTTGTATATAAGCCTGTTTTTAAAATCTTATGCATATTTGATTTGGAGTCATTTTAACTAGCATGCATTGCATAGAAACTAACAAATTAAAAATTTAATTACATTAGCTCTAGGAGCATTTATCATACATAAGTTTAAGGCCAATTAGGAAACTCTATAGACGTCGCCTTACTTCCAAAACACTCAACCTACCTACCTATCTTTTATAAAGACTGGACTGTATGGATTTTACCGTGTCTAGGTGGTTAGCTAGCATCCCTTTTTTAGGCAGGATATAAGACCAGGTGCATTAGCTAGGACACGGGAGTTAGTGTTGGGTAGAACACTTGTGTGGAGGGTAGAACACGGTAGCTGCAGCGGTGTCCTTTTGGAGGTCCACAAGAAGGAAAATTTATTTGGAGTTCTACATTTAAGAAGGAAACAACCAAACATAAAATGAAGAGTGGAAAATGTCATTACTATTACTAACATTTAAAATCATCGTCCTTCACTTATTTTACTGCTGCGGGGAAGTTGCGACTTGTAGAGAACAGGTCGGAGGGAGCCGCATACCAAAGCCGGGCTTCTGGTTGAACACTTGTGTGAGGGCTAGGGATCGGGTGTCTTGTGTGAATGAGAGAGAGAGAGAGAGAGAGAGAGAGGAGATAGA